AATTCTCTACATTTTACGTGCAAGAGCAATACGTGACTCTCGAGCCTGCGTTTGAAACAATGCTAACATTAATTTTATTTTTAAAATAATTAGTTCAACTTAACACATTAAAAACATATAAAAATAATAATAATATTCATCTTATGCTCACGAGACATCCTTGTCCATATTAATCTTCAGTTTCTTCTTCCTTTATGCGACCTTATCACAACTCCTCCCCTCATAAAAGAATTTTTCTTGACTATGGAAGGAAAAATTCTAAATACTTTTCACTGCTTTCAAAACACAAGTGGTAACCATTTAAGTGATAATAGAGAAGCCAGTTACATTGCCCTGCACTTATTTCTAGATAACATAAACGCAAAAATACAACAAAAAGATTTAAACTACTTCTAATGTCTGCTTCATACAAAGTACATTCCTCAAATTTTACAAAATGCTAATACTTAAGATAAAACATTTAATTCTAATAATTTTTGAAAATGAAAAACACAATGCAAACAATTTTAAATCTACACAAATATAATTCCAAAACGCTACAAAAATCATTTTTCAAACAACAGTTTACAGAAGAAAAAGGATTGGCTCCTCCATATATTTCATATGCTAAAGTTCCTGCTGTCCATACATCTGATATCTAATAATCAATCACTGAGAAAGGACACGCTTCAGTATTTATAACTTCTGGTGCCATTAATAGTATATTTCCACCTTTCTCAGAATCATATGAATTGTAAACCAAATAGAGGCCTTCATGACAGCACCCAAAGTCATTTACTGCAAGTCTAGAAGAGGAGAGCCCATACTGGAAATCTAATAAAATATTGTCAGTCTGTAAATCCGCTGAGTAATATCATTTTGAAGCAAGTGTACTAAAGCTTCCAAAAGCTGAGTAAACAGTAGCAATGCTGCGTGACCAGAAACATCTATTCTTTTAAATTGCAATTGTATCTCTTCATAACAAAAAATAGTTCTACCACATCCATCACTCAGAAGACGAACAGGAAGGGCTTGTGTATAGTTAATGAAGGCACCAGGAAGCAGAGGTGTTGTTTGATCAGCAAAAGGAAAATACATTTCAACTATATTTAGATGAGGTCCCAGTTTCTTTTTCCTGACTTTTATGTTTTGTCAGTTCACCCAAAGAAAATTCGCAATGGCTGGTAATGTCTCCTTATACATTGCACGCCCTATAGCATATGCATTTGATTCAACATTGTAATTGAATATTACTTTTACAGCAAGGCTATTTGGAAGCAGTTTCTCAGAAGAAAACGTCTTGATAGAAGTGGGTTTTTCGAATATCGAATTCTGAAGATCTTGTGTTCCTTCGGTATGCGATATAATAAATTTTGTTTGGTGTTGAACATTATCACGAGTTTCAGTTGCTTGTGCTTCCGATATTTCGTCTGGCGGGACATCCGCAAGGATAGACCTTTCTTCTAAACTGATGTCTGGACTTTTAATGGCCTCCTCTGTATTACTGGTTAACTTCGTTTCTTCCGAAAGTTCATTATTCACAACACTTTCAATTTCTATCTCTTTCTCTTCTTCCGATCTGGAATCTAAGTCTTCCGCCCTCTCTCTCTCTAAACTCCTGCGTGTATGCACCCGACTACGAGTTTCTACAACATTCAAGAGAACCGGTTGTTCCCTAATTTCCTCTATCAACTGGGAAGTTTTATTTCCTAACAAATAGTACTCTTTATCTAACTCCACCGGAGTAACCGTTGCCTTTGTGGTGACCACACCAAAATCAACTTCAAAGGTGACTTTCGCCAAAGGTACATTCTGTGTCCAAAGGCTGTTTCATCCATACAGTTTTCCCTAATAAGTCACTAGTATTAATCCAAGTACTATTACACAGATCTATTCCAGCTCCAGTATCTCTGATATTCTCTCTCTATCCCATTAATTACTGCTTTTCTCCGTTCCTAGATTACTCATTCACCAGATTAGCCTTATTCTTTTCCAGCGATGGACAGTTAGGTCGGATATGTCCATCCTTTCCACATTGATAACACTTCATTTTCCGCTGTTTCTCGAAACCTGCTTCATTGAAAACTTGCCTTTTTTTTTAGGAGCCTCCACTTTTCTGATTTAATTCTTTGATGACCACTACTTTTCTGATTATAACTACCACTGGAATTTACATACCACTCTCTATCTTTCTCATATGGTTTCTTTAACCCCACTCTCTGTACTAACTTCCTCATAGCTCTTCGTAAAGCCTCATACCTGTCGCATTTCTCTGCTAAAATAGAAGCCGTTTTATATTCTTCCCAATTGTCTAAGTAGTGCTCCTCTTATTTCTTATAATGAACATTCTAGAGGGACTCGCCGCTTAATTTGCTCGGTGAGCATAAGTTCTTTATGACTTTTAAAATCTTGAACTTTCACTGAATCCAACCAATTCTCTAAATACACTCTCAATTCATATACTAAATCCACCCATAACATTCCATTTTTTCTAGAATGTTCTTCAAATTTTGTTTTTAGTGCCCAAGAACTAAGCTTGAATCTATGCATGAGTAATTTCTTAACATGCTGATAATCATCCCCTTTATCCGCTGGTTCTTTCACTATTAACTGGGCTACATCGTGAGGTAATAAAGGAATTAATTGCGAGACCCAATTAATCTCATTAACGTTTTCTTTTTGAGCTTGTTTCTCAAATAGCATAAAGAATAATGAAATATCTATATTACTCGGTTCAAAACGCGGTACTAGATCTTTCAAATTAACCTTTTTTTCTCTAGATTGTTCAACTGTCGAAACCGAGGAAGCTAGGCTATTAGACTGAACCACATTCATCAGTTTTTTTTTTTTCTTTCCAATTCAAAAACTCGCTCTCGTTCCTGCTCTGCTCTCTCTTGTTCACATTCCCGTTCTACTCTCTCTTATTCGGCTATTTCTTCTGCTTTTTTCTGCTCAGCCGCAGCTCAAATTCTTGCCGTATATTCTTTCGCCACTTCTTCTTCATAGTCCTCGGCATTTAGAATAGCCTACCTAATTTCTCTTACTCTATTTGCCTGAGACACATTTGTATCAAACTCCTCCGCTAACTCCAATAGCAGAATTTTATTAAATTTCTTCATAAACTCACCCATTATGGAAAATTAAAGAAAAATACCTACCCCAAAATACAATAACACAAAAACAACAACAGGTCTATCTCTCCAAAACTGAATAATACCCAAACAGTTCTGAACGGTAATTGCCTTACAACACTAAATGGTAACACCTATGCCTACATACAAAACATATATCAAAAATGCTAATTAAAAGGCAACCTTTTCCTGCTCTATTTAACTATATAAATATTGCCCTCTAACTCTGAACTGATTTAAAAACTAATTTTTCTAAAGCATACCATTGTAATACTTCACACAATTTAAACAGTTTAAAATTCCAATTAGCAAAGGCAACCACAAGACTAACTTTCAATAACTACAAGAAAACTTTTAATCCCCCAAAACAGAGCTATATCCAAAATAAACCCAGTCTTCAAATAACTGACATTACTTCTCCAAAATCCCAAAAATGGTACTCACCAATTTTGAAGATGCCTCTGATGACGCCGAAAAAAAAATGGCTACATTCCATCAACAAGAGAAAAATCTCTCTCTTTTAAACAAATTCAAATTCTCTACATTTTATGTGCGAGAGCAATAGGTGGCTCTCGAGCCTGCATTTGAAACAATGCCAACATTAATTTTATTTTTAAAACAGTTAATTCAACTTAACAACTATTGAAAACGTATAAAAGTTAAAAAATAAAATAATAATATTCATCTTACGCTCTCGAGACATCCTTGTCCATATTAATCTTCAGTTTCTTCTTCCTTTATGCGACCTTATCACAAAGGTAATGCTTTCGGCCCAAAACCTCATTAGTGAGTTTTCAATGAATAACCACAAATTAGGGTCCCCAAAACATATTTTTATAATTATGTATATGTCCGTCTGTGAGGAGTTTTTTTGTTATAACTTGTAATAAAACTTCCAAAAAATTTATATTTTCCATATTTAAGTTTTCTGCATTCCTACAGAGTATCAACTAGATTTGATGTCAAATCAGACAACTGAAAGTAGAACTGTACTTAAACGCCATGACAGTTTTTAATGAAAAACTAAATAAAAAAAATAAAAAAATCCCGGGGAAGGAAGGAAAAAAAAAAACGGCTACAAAACTTTACATTATTGAGAATTCTAAAGATATATTCTTCCAAAGTCTTTGTGATTTTGTTGTTCAATTTTATGTGGCATAACTGCAAAGAAAGTTGTATTTTGTACTACGGACCTTTCCATTTATTAGAGTAACAAACTAGATTTTGTTTACAATCAATCAACCTGAAGTGATATTTTACTTAAGGCTCATTGCTATTTTAAACATGGAACTGGAGGTCAACATCAGATTTTTTAAGCATTCATTCTATATGATCAGCAAAATGTACAAACATGAATTTTTATAAATATTTGAAAGTAGCATTTGTCATATAGAGAAAACTTTAGTTTGATTTTTTTACATTCTTTATAAATTTAATTTGATTAATGTACTAAAAATATTCCTTTAAGCAATCTTGATGCCGATTAAAATGAAAGATAATTAAGTATAAATGTTAATATTATAATAGTTGTCATTACATTTTTTAAAACTCAATTTTTTTTCTCTAAATTTTAATATGAAATAGATTCTAAAATAGTGATAGGAAAAACAAAGATACATTAATGAAGACAGCAAGCATTGAAATTTTAATCTTTAGAATATAGCTGAAAATATTTATGTATAATTTCTGTCAGACAACTCTTCATATTAAAATGCTATAACATACATTGTAGCACAGTGAAAATATAGGAATTTGAAAACAATTAGTGATAAATTATGTCAAATCTGTATCAATTTATTAATTATTTGCTCATGACACATTGATGAACAAAGGAATTAATATTTTAACTCATAATATCTGGATCTATAACTCTGCAGATGTTGTATCATCTTTTTTTTTTTTTTTTTTTTTTTTACTTTACCTTTTCTTTTATAATTAACACCTTACACAACCCAGAGTTCTGAATACAAATGAGAAAGAAAACAATTTTCATAATTTTTCTATACTCTTATTCATTAGATGAGAAAGGGAAGAAAGGGGGGCACAAATTTACCCATAAAAACCACAAAAGCATACCATTTTAAGCAATGTAAATTAGTGTGTACTTAATTTATGTAACTTTTTATCGAAAACTCATAATTTTAGTATAAGGCAGTTAAAAATAATCAAACCACTTAATCTGATGCCATTTTGAACATACTGTAAAAATAATCCCTTAGTGAAAATGATCTATCATCTAACAGAGTTAAATATAGGTTTTACTATTTTAACTCTAAAAAAAATTAAAAACAATATAATTAAAATACTTTAAATTGAAAACAACTTTTTAATCTCTCTCATTGCAATAAGAAAAACATGATCCCACATTAATAGGTGCTAAAAAGGTTTAATGATTAAAAAAAAAAAAAAAATACTGGCTATTTATTCTGCCACATTTATCACAGTTACATATTATGAAATAATGTATTTGGAATACATTCAGTACAAGAAAGACATGAACTAACATTTCTAAACTACTTTAAGATATTTGTAACAAAATACTATATGCTTTTATAAAACAAACAACCATGAGAAGGATTCTGTGATATTTCAACACCTCTTAAATTACAGTATTCACATTCATCAATAAAAGAATAAACAACAAAAATACTTTTCAGTGCATATTCTTCATACATGTCATTTACAGCATAAGCTATTAAAAAGCTGCAATCAGATATGCATAGATCATTGAAAAGAATTTCCATTTCCTTTTACATTCTGACATATAAAATTATCTCATTAGCTTTATTTTTAACTAAAATGAAAGCCAAAACTGAAACTTAAATGTGTAATACAACAGATGAACTTAAAATGAAATGAAATTTTGTTAAGTAAAAAATATTAATTTGCAGATTTCTATAAAATTAAAAAAAAAAAATACTTTTAAAAACAAACAATTTAAAACTGCAACCCTTTATTATTTTTAAATGAGCAGTATCAGATAATTTCCCAGATAAACATTTTTAGAGAGGAAAATTTATGCACCGCACACAATTAAAGCTGCATACTCTTAAGCAAACAAAATCATCTTTACTAACTAATCACACCAATGAAAACTTCATGGAATAGAAAAAGCATATTTGTTTCATAAAAACAATACTGCACAATAAGTACAATAACTATGTAAAAATAAAATATCACAAAGGTTACAATAATTATATGTACTATTTTCTAAGACATAATGAAATACATGTAAATATTCTGCTTTATTGTCAAATGTATTTTAAGATGGTGGAAAATAAAAGGAATTCTAAATATTCAGTATCAGTCCTTAAATCTCTGGTCTCAAACTGATGGCCCATATGGCTCTGAAGCAATTTTATGTGGCCTACAAATACCTTTCAATTATGAATTTGTTGCAAAGATTTCAAGATTTTAGTTAATTAAGGCCCGAGTTCACATTATTTTCATTATCATTAAAGATGAACATGATCAACACACTAAAAAACCTATAAATAGAGCTAATTAATTTACAATGTTATATAATATTCAAAGATTTAAAGAAATTGATTTTATTAACATTTATTCATAGTTGCTCAAAAAAATAAATAAGCTCAGTAATGAATTTTTGCACTAAGAATAATTGCTTTGTTTCGGAATACATTTATATATGAACAACTTTTTTTTCCCGTTTGAGAATTAATAAGAATAGAACTCAATTAACCAATGAGTATCTACAATCCACGAAGATAATTTCCATTTAAGGCTACAGACTTTATCAGAATTGAAATGCCATGAAGTGTTGAAGTGTAGTTAGAAATAAAGAAGTTTATAATTATCTACGTACAAACACATCTATTTTTAATCATGTCAAAGAAAAATTTAATATTATAATAGAAAGAATTCAGGTTGTCATTATTTACTCTCAAGTTTTGCCCCAGTCAGTAAATTTTACCTGAAAACTTATTTTGACAACTATTTAATATGCGAAATCTAAAATTTATTAAAATATTTTTCATTTTGTCAATTAAAAGAAAATTTGGCCTGTCAATTCTTTTTTAGATCATGCACTCAACCTACATACAATCCGAGTTTGAGACCACTGCCTTAAATAATGTGAAAGTATATACCACATATTTCCAGATGCCAGGAATATTAATTTATCCAAAAACTAGCTGCTTTTGAAAGGCATGTATTCTTTATATTTCACAGTGAATGTTAACAATGTAATATTTTGTCTATATTTCATCTAACATTAGTTTATTTTTTACCACATTTTATGTAACCATATATTTTAATTTACATAACATATGTTATTTTAACCAATAATATGTGTTATAGAATAACACAAAGGTTATATACTAATTTAAAAAAATAAAACTCAATTTTGGAAACAACTATTTTTGATTTAAATTATCATACATTAAAATTTAATGAATAACTAATGAAACTTTTATAAATATTCCAAGCTGCAGAAAGTAATAAATAGTCTAAAAACGTCTCCTGTCTTATAATGAAATAAAAAATAATCAATATGATAATTAAAAGTGATTTATGACTTCAGAAATCAACAATATTGATCAGAAAGTTGTCTTGTGCAGATTACTGTAATAATACTCATTTGGCATAATGTAAAATCAATCAGAAAATATTAAAAACATTCAGCAATATAATTTAACAATATTTAAAGTCCATGTATAAAATATAACAAAAAAGCAAACTTTTTTTGTAAAACAAAATGAAAACAAATATTTCAGTTAATAAATGCAAACAATATAACATTATATGAAATAACAAACATAGATTCTTTTGAAGGCAACAAATGATATATGAAATCATGCTATACATCTTCATTACTTTTTAACATACTCATCTTTACATCATTTCCATCTCTGAAATGATAAAATGATAGTTATACATTAGATGATAACATAAATTAGTGGCAAATGATTAAATAAATATATAAATGACATTGCATAATATTTTGTAATTTCGGATCCCAGATAATATTTTAAAAAAACGAAGTTAAATATATTGTACTAATCTTCAAATTTCTCAGACTACTATAATGTCAAAACTATGTTTATTATCTATTATTTGATATTTCAATCAACTTGATCAACTACATATGTAAAAACCAAACAACTGATTCCTTATTTCAAAGAATATAAATTCATAAATTAAAAAATAAACAAATCTGTACACTTCACGGATTCTCAAACAGGGAAGAATATCATAATTTCGGGGCTGTGAGGAAATATGGTCAGTCTTTTATTTAGTTTCATTTTATGCACTAAAAATTACATTCAAATTTTTGTATTTATCAAAACCTTTTCAAAGCACCTTTTCTTATTGTTTAATTTATAAAACATGTTAAAAATAATCTAAATCTATATAAATGTACATGCATTTTACGAGTTTGGGAAAGGATGGGGGGATGATCTTCTAGAAATAGTGAAAAGTGGTGTATGAGGCAAAACAGACTGAGAAGCTACGGTATAGTTGCACGAAATTTTTACCGTTTGGTTGTTTGGAAAATAATTTCTTCTTTTTGTGAAAGGGAAAAAAGCAATTAAAATATTTTATTAAATTTTATATTGATCGTTATGGTCCAATACCTTCTGCAAATCTTTCTGGAAATACCATGATTCCACTTTACAAAGTTTCTTATCTTTGCTTACGAAAATTTTCCCCAAGTGATTTTTGGCATCCTCATTTGAAATCAATGTTTTACCACATAAAAGTTTTTTTTAAAGATCAGAACAATTAAAAATCTGAGAGTGCTAGATCTGCAGAGAGAATATGGTGGATGCGATAGCATATCTCATCCAAGCTATAACAGCTTTTGACAAGTAACCAAAGTTGTGTGAATTTTGGCATTATCTTAGTGAAACACAGCATTTTTTGGTTGATCAACTCTGTCCTTTTCCATTTAATAGTATCATTCAATCAGTCCACTGATAGCACATGCTTTTAAATCAATTGTCAACTTGTCTGATTAAAAAAAAAAAAAAAGCTTTTAAATTCTGCCACACAGAAACCATCACTTTTACTCCATGAATATTGAATTTCAAAGCACTTTGGGCTGATTCATCCCTTTTTTAGAATTGCTTACAATCAATATTCTTATAAACAATCAAATTATTGAGTATTATGATTCATTTCAAAAATGGACCTTTCCTTGGTGTCTGAGAAGAAAATCACAAATGCCAATGCAATGAAGCAAATCTCTACAAAAATATGGAACCTATATATTGAGCTTTGATACTAAACCAAGTCATTTCATGTGACAAAAAATATTTGAATTAGAAAAATTTAATCTTTTAGTGTTTTCTCAGGTTGTTATATGGTGGTTTGCTTCAGTCAATATGTTTATTTTATCTTCATTAGTTGCCTTTACCTTCCAGAAAGTGACGCATTTTCAGCATAAAAATGGGTGGAACAAAATTTTGCAAAAAGCAGTTTTGGCACTAGTATTCTCTTGGTAACATTTTCTCCATACATAGTTTTTTTTCTTGTTTGAATAGCAAGCTTAACTTTTGGGGCAATAAAAAAGTAAATTATATCGAAAACACAGATTTTTATTTTCCATGTTTAATGGGATATGCACACAATTTTTTTTTTAAATACATAAGCCTTGAAATGTCAGCAGTCACAATCTATAACTACAGCATGGTATAGAGACCAAAGTTGACTGGTTACAAATATAACTAATATCTCTCATAGCACAAAAAATGGAATTATTTTCTGAACATCCCAGTATAACCCATACGACAATTTCAAATTCATTCTTGAAGAGTTAATAAATATATGATTAACAAAATACATTCCTATTTAAATATGCCTGCAAAAACACGTGATTACATTTTTAGTATAATAGTGGTAAGCATGATAGATGTAACTTTCAACTTTAATGTTGTCCAGTTACACTGGTTTGGTTTAATTTAATTATAGCAAAGCACCTTAAGGGGGATGGATGCCATTATGAAAGATTTTTCAAAGGAAGCTGGTTCATATCCTCCAAGGGAAAAATCACGAAAATGCCCATGCATACAGCCCGACTATCAGTGCTCAGCGACTTTACCGCTCAGCACTTTCACATGTATTAAATAAGATCACGAGATATTAAAAATAAAGAGCAAGATTTGCAATATTTACATTGAAAAAGCATTTAAATTGAATGCTTCAACAAACCACATTGAAATTACTGTTATTTAATATTTCCATTAAAAATTTTACACTAAAATTATCTTTCCTTTCCTACTTTTCGAAAATTTTAAGGCACTATTTTCTTAGTCTTCAGCTCAGATAATGCTCATCCCACTCAGTAATCACCAAGATATTTTTAGTTGAATACCCCCCCCCCCAAAAAAAAGTTGCATTAATATTCAGGAAGAAAAATACAAACATAAGATGGACAATTTTACACAATTTCAAAATCCCTTAAAAAAAAAAAAAAAAAAAAAAATTCCTTGATCTAAAACTGAGAAATGATCCAATTATCTTTACCAAACATAACTGCATTTTCTTAAATTATAAATCAAACAATTGTCCTGCAATTTTTATTTACTAAAAAATTCAGAGTCTCAGAGTCTTGTAATAAATTACACACACTCACAAAAAAGGGAGGTGGGGGAAATGAACAGAAAACATAATTTTGAAGAGAAAAATTTCTGGGGCAGTTTATAAGCTTCAGCACCATGATTACCTTAGTATAATTAATGGAAATACCTTTTTTTAATTTTGAAAATAATTTTATTAGACAAGATCAAGATGCCAATGAACAGAATGATATACACCGCTTATCTAAAAGAAGACTATGTATGTTTAGCTAAAACTTAAGGAAAAGAAAATATTACTTAGTAATAAAAATTTAACTGTAAAACTTGTAACTCAAGCATTATTGTTTTTCATTTTTTTACTTGAATTTAAACATACTCTTCTGAACTCCTTTAAACATTTTATAGCTAAATAATCCTTATCTAAATATCTTATATAACCATACTTACTTGGACAACTCTTCACCATCTTCTATAACTTCAGGAGCACTTTCTATAAAACCACTAGAAATAAAAAATGAAAAATATTTTATTAGAAGAGACAAAGAAAGTAAATTTTTTGTTAACATTAATATTTCAATACTACCTTTAAATATTTAGCATTTTTTACATAAATAAAAATTTTTGTAAGTTATGTTTTGAAACAAATTCAATACATTAGATGCTGCTTAACAGCATCATAGTTAATAATGTCACCATTTGGATATTGTTATGGAATTGCCGAAATCCTACCCATTTGTATATTAAAACATGGAAAACTTCATTTAATGTTATCAACAATCGGTTAATATTATTAAGCTATTTTAAGAATAAATTTGTTTTAAACAGAAATTATAAGGAAAAATCAGATTATAAAAATTGTCATTTTTATAATCTGATTTGCCCCTTTCCCTCCAAAAAAGGTTTAGCATAGATTATGAGATCAGACATAGGCTCTCTTCTTCATGTGTAAAAGAAATTTTTGCAGAATTTTTTTTTTCCCACACCAAATTAAGGTTACTTTTCTGCTGAATTTTAAATTCTACATCAACATGTTGTCTTCCAATGCAGGATGCTCTCTGAATATTAAGATTAGAGGTACAGAAATGGCCAAATAATTTCAATGAAACATAATAAACTGTTCATAAAAAAAGGGGGGACAGTTGTATATCTCCCGTTCTACTGGGCCAATTGATGAAATTCAAATTGTGTTTCTCATGTCTCAAAAGCGTGACTCAGGATATATATTAGATTTATATGTAGCATTGCTCCAACATAGGTATTTTGGCACAAAATCCAATGTTTTTCCATATTTCGATTCTATGACTCAAATTATGCTAGATATTAAATTTTGTAAAATTTGGTGCGAAATTTACGGAGAAATTCAAATATTTATCGCAGCACGTTTTTTTTCAGTTTGCACCAAGAATAATTTACTTGACAAACTTCTTAATATATGGTAACTTATTTTGCTTTTCCTTCCATTGTACAGGAGCGGGGGGAAAAGTCACATTGTTTCTATCTTTTTACATTGTGCATTAGCGGGAAAAAGTTACATCGTTCCTACTTTCAAATAATTTTAACAAAGTGCCTAAACCACATTTGATATTATTATCGCTTTCAACAAATATGCCAAATTTTAATATATAAATTCACATATATCTTCGGAAATTTTGAATAAAAAACTAATTTTTTGCCAGGTATTGCTTAGAACATCTACGTCTACTGATGATGGTAAAAATTCTTATAGTTTATAATTCAACATTTTTTCTTGAAAAATTTATAAAAATTATTTTAAAATACAAATTTTAGAAATAAATGATAAAAAATGGGCAAATTTTATTTGGAATGAACCTAAATTTCGAAATGTGAAAGGAAGAATCAAATAAGTTTAATAAAAAAAGAAAGAATAATAAATATATACCAAATTCAATTAACGTTGAGGAGCTAAAGTCTTGAGAGCTAATTTTTAAAAACTATTTGTGTGATTTTTACAAAATATGGCAGTTTGGCATAACCTGAGTTGTAGAATCGAAATATGGTGAAAAATTGGCATGTCAATTAAGAAAAAGTTGGATTTTGTGTCAAAATACCTATGTTATACATAAATCTAATATATATTTTAAGTCATGCTTTCGAGACATGAAAAACGCAATTTGAATTTCATCGATCGGCCCAGTAGAACGAGAGATACAGAATTGTCCCCCCCTTTTTTCTGTCACAGTGTACTTTGAATTAAAGATATTATGAGGAATTTATAAATAAACTTTTGCATTTTTCTAATTAAAATGCTGTCAAAGTGTTTATTTATATGCTTCTATTTATATTTATATTAAATTGATTAAAGTTCATTGCTGTTTTGGAGGATATTTTTCCTCATCATTTAATGCTATCAAAATAGCCTTGGACAAGACAAGATCACACTAAACAGTGACCACTGTATCCACACATTTAGAATTCATGAAATATTTCTTTCTTTAACATATTGGAGATGAGTTACACACAGCAAAACCTACTTCCTCCTCCATACACTTACAGATAAATAGAGAATTTTCTGTGGCCTGATACTTACTGTTTGTCTATTGAAGTATGGAAATTTTTGCAGCCCATGCACTGTTGTGTTGTATTTCATGTTATAATCATTTTGACTAAATTATATTATTTACAATTTTATAATCGAAATCACATAAATAAAGGTGTTAATTTTGTGATAGCTTTTTTTTCTAGAAACTTTCACTGACATCTCATGATACATACTTCCCCAACTGCTCCGCTTCGCATATGGTATCCGGCAAATACTGGTTATAAGTCTCGGGCAAAAGTGCAATCAGAAGAGCAGCTACAATTGAGAGAGAGCCATATACTATGGCAGGCACTGCAGGATGTGTAGCATTTCCCTACAAAACAAAACAGCATTCAGCAAACATTACTCAAAGCATATGTATTATAACATGTACATAGCTACCAACCTTAAAATCCGAAAGAAACTGCAACGTTTTCATGCTGCACAGTGACACCATTTTAAAGAAATTGGAAAATGACTTGATGCAGATATTAACTGATTAAACAGTGCTTAAATTCTCACATAAAATATCTACAAATGTCTGCAGTAGATTCAGACAACTCATATCATATTAAATTTAATAAGGAAAACTTAATAAGACAAAAATGACTAAAATGTAATAAGAAACAATATAATTTAGATCAAGAAAAATTTAATAAGAAAATTATTCTGAGAGTTAGAGCTATGTATCTTGTAGAATCACCATTTAAAATGGAAGTGATTAAGTTGCTCATTCAACATGCGATTTTTTCCTTACTTTCGAAAAAAATGCAATTTGTTCATTTTCAAACAATCAGCTATCAGCTTGTTTGTAATGGAGAACCATTTTCCCCTGTGTCCCCAGTTTCCCCCAAAGTGATCTAAGGTGTTTGGCTGTTTAGAGAAAGCAGAAAAATTGTTTCAAACAGTTTTTCTTTCGAAACAAATGGATACGTGATAGTAGCCTTAGAAGCCCACCCAGAGAAAGAACTGATATTGGAATACGTAAAAACAAAACTGATTGATGAATGCTAAGAAGAAAAGAATGTATGTAAACAGTAGAAACAAATGCTTTCAAAATGGTGTTGGTGTGTGGTGTATTTAATTATGGCAAAGCACACTAGGGCTATCTGCCTAAGGGGAGGGATGCCTTTCGTGGAGGACTTTCTAAGGGAAACTGGCTCGTATACATGTTACACATGGGGAAAATCATGAAAAAGGCCATGCAGCCAGCCCGTTCGCGGGATTCGAACCTCGGACCGAACTACCAATGTTCAGCGACTTTACCGCTCGGCCGCTGGTGGGCCGCTTTCAAAAATGAATTTCAACATAAAATTCAAACATTTCAATCAACATGATGCAGTTACTACAACAAAATTAGGACATTTAGAAAAAAGAATTCCAATTCTTAAATAACTACAAAGAAAAAGACAAAAATGAAAATAATCTGTTTCACAGATATGAAAAGCAAAAAGAATAAAGGAAATCATGGAAATAAAAACAAAAGCTGCTATAAATGAGGATACATATTAAGATGAAAATAAAAACAAGAAATTTTAGAAGGCTGAATATATGTAAAAGTTACCAAAGAAAATTCCAGAACTCAAATTGCCAATTGATTCAAGAGCCACATGTTATATGACCAATAACAAACTTTTTCACAAAATTAGATAGAAGCAAAAAACAATTGCTAATGGTACTCAAATGAAGTCCCAAGGCATCACAGAAGGATATTTATACTGTATAGATGACGATGAGATAACGAAACAGATATAAAGCTCAAAACATTTTATATGTTCCTGTTCTTGAAAGAGGACTTATACAAAAAAATCACAATCAAGGGATTTACAGTTGAAGAAGATACTTGCAGAATAAAAAAAAAAATAATAATAAAATAAAAATAAATAAATAAATAAAAACCAAAGGAACTGCTAAAGCAAAAGCAAATTCACATTATATAAATGAATCACAAAAGAAAAAAAGCCAAAATTGCAGATATAAAAAGAAGTGAAAATAGCATTGATCTTTGACATAGCAGACTAGGACACAATTATGAAGCAATCAACAGGCTGAAGAGCCAGAACAAGAATAGAATAAGAAATTGAAAAAGATAAAAGAATGCGAATGTTACATCAGAAGCAAAATGTCTGAATTTTCGTATCCCATGCTAAATAATGACAGAGCAAAATCAATTCTGGACTTGATACATTTGGACATTTGTGAACCAACTGGCAGATCACTAGGATGAAGAAACTACTTCATAACATTCATCAACGATTATTTGTGATACACAAATGGTCTACTTGCTAGCTACAAAAGATGAAGATCTTCAGAGTAAAGCAAATTTGTAATCATGTCAAAGAAAAAAAGGAAAGAAGCCAAAAACAAAAAATGAAGGGGAATACACAAACATAGAAATTGAAAAATACTTAAAAGAAGAAGGAATGAAACATCTAATCCCTGTAGCATATTCACAATAGAATGGTCAAGCAGAAAGAAAAAAATCACTACATGATGGAAATGACAAGATGTCTAGTACTCAGTTCGGGACTCAAAAGAGAACAATGGAGTGAAGCCATAATGATAGCCACCTATCTACAAAACTGACTGTCATCAAGATAAATAAAAAAAATCTGATGTGTAGACCACGACTTCCTTGTACGGTATATTAAATTATACGCATCTTTTTCTTGAACTTCATTTAAATTGATTGGATTGAATTAAATCTACTTAAACCACAATAGAATAAATGCACTCTTTAAAATTCACTATATTTGTTTACTATAACAACACTCTGAATAAACAAAATTTATATCATTTGAAGAATTATTGTTGCCACATGCTCTATTCAAATACAATAAAGCTAAAACGATGTACGAAAGAAATTAAGCAAACAAAACAGAAAACAAACAGTTTTTCACAGACAATTTAGTATTTCTCATTCAATTAATTCAGCTCTCACTTTGCAACAAGGCAAAAATACATAAAAACTCAAAATATCTGCATTAAAAATTACGAAGTAAATCTTAAACACTTATTTCCTCGAGAAAATTCCAGAAAGGATTAAGCATGATTTAATTTGCAATAATAAATGAAGGCGTTAGTTTTGTGTTGCGAAGCTTAGTCTCTCTAGATTGACAACAAATCTACAATTCTGCAGTTTCATATGTAAATAAATATGTCCGCCATATTATTTAAAACTTAACCGCACTTAAACAACTTTTAAATTGTTAATAATTCTAAAAATATTGCATAGAGATTTACTAAAGGCGTAAAAACCTTAACCGGAAGATAAGAACAACATAATTCAATCATTTTTAAAGCAAAAAATGTTACAATTTACAAACATATAAGAGTAAAGAAACTGAGATCACTGAGCCGCGTAACAGAGTGGATATATATATATAAATATATTTATATACGTTTGGTGCGGCCGATTGCAACCAAAATACGAGGTGCACATCTACATGTTATAGCAGTCCTATATACAAAATTTCAACGTTCTGAGGCTACTCGTTTTTGAGTTATGTGAAATACGTACGTACTTACGTACATACGTTCGTACAGACGCCACGAAAAATTCTCTTCAGAATTAATTTTAAAGCACTTTTATAATTTTTTGGAGGAAAAGAGTCTTTTATTCTGTCCTTATGTACAGATATCACGCAAAAACACGTTAAATTGCATTCGATAGCGGTCAAAATGGATATTTTCGTTAAAATATGTTGCCTGAAACTTTTCGTGATTACAATACTTCCTTTTTACTTCGCACAAGGAAGTAAAAAACCATATAAGCTCTAGATAAATAAAAAGCTGACTAAGTCCTATCAGAGCTTTTAGGAGCACAACAGCTTGTTCGAAAGAAGAAAAGATGTAAACTGGACGAATTCTCGTCGGATACAGTTATCGTACAAGAGGATACAGAATTTATGTACCAAATACAAATAATACTGACATCAAAAGAAGAATAACATGTGATGAAAACAAAAACGAAGCAATACCTCGACATATAAATTAGAATGTGGAAATAAAATGGCCTTTTAAAGAAAATTAGTTGACAGAATGAACTCCAGATGCTATAACAGAAAAAGGAATCAAACTCTGATAAAAAATCTACATTGAGATACATATTTCAGATAGGAAATAGTACAGTATCTTGGCCAAGCAAGAAACAAAATTTTGTTGCCTTATCTTACACAGAAGCTGAATACATCATTCTAGCTTTGATTCTGCAAGAGTTGCAACAAAATTTAAAAAAAAAAAAAATATTTTTACTTTTTAGACAATTTAACAAAAACTGCAATGTCTAAAATATTTTTACATGATTTATTTTATGCTTTGTAATCTGATGAATGGGAAAAAAGTATGTAATGTCATACTTTTATTGTTTTTTTTTAAATTTTTATTTATTCATTTAGGATATTCTGATTTATCTGATGGCACACATTCAACTTCTTTAAATATCAGTTTGATTTAAAAATCCTAGCTAATTAACACTTAAAATCGTATGACTACTAACAATGAATGTTTATATATTTTGATTTAAAATGTATCACTACTACCAATCAACAATTAAAAAATGACATGATTTTTGAAAAACGACCAAAATTTGCAAACTAAATTAGAAACCCTTCCCTTCCCCCCCCAAAAAAACCCCTGTCTCCTTAGAAGATTATTATTCAATCAATCTGATATTGCAGAGATTTTGCAGTGATTAGTTTGATATAAAAAAAGACAGGTGAAATAAATTCATTGTTAAATACATTTTAAAAATGCCATTGAGTATGCATGAATTATCATTGCAATAATACAAAATTTCAAGAAAATTGGCTTTACAGAATGGAGGCAAAATCATTTCAATGCCTGAATTTAATAAACAGATACATCAACTGAAATAAAATCATAAAAGAAGGTATATGGCAAAACAAGAGATACTTCATCCTTCTCCAGATCAAAAAATTCCTTTTTGAAATGAACTCCAATTTATTTGTTAAAAATTAAATTTGAAACGCTGATGAAAATTTTAACTTAATCAATCCCAGCGTAAAGTAAAATGAAAAATTTAATGTTATTTTAAAACCTAAGATATGCTTCTGTAATAATTTTTTCCACATTATTTTGTTTGCATGTGATATATATATATATATAATTGCAAAAGAATTTGCAACTGATATTTATACAATAAAATGAGAAAAGAATATTATGCGAAATCTCACAGTCAATAACTTGTAATGCAAATTTATGTTCTGTCTGTTCTTCAGATTCTACTGATGTGTACATTTATTTGTAAGCAAAAATGTAGTAAAGAATAAACGACATAATTAAAAAGAAATGAACACCTAAATATGCAATCCTTGGAGAACGGAAGAGGGAAAATACAATGTTATATAAATACTAATAAAATTAAGGAAATCAACTATTAAGATATAAAATAAAGAAGTTTATATGTAATCTATCCAATAAATATGCAAACTGATATTATAAACACTGCATTTTACAAAATTAAGATACATTAATGTTATTCTCTTCAAAATACTCCTTATTTGTAGCAGTACACTTATCTCATCTCAGGTGGCCCTTGTTAAAAACAACGCTGGAAGTCTTCAGAAGTCAGGCTGTTCACGTACCTTGTTCTTTCACATTTTATCATCTCCGCATCAACCATAATTCATCACCAGAGATGATCCTTTCAAAGAAACTGAAAGTCCGTATAGAGTATTTCCAGTCAATACAGCATTCGGTCATTCCCAGCTCTTGTCAGGTGTTAATAACAGGACAATTTTTGTCCACAATGTTCTCAACTCCAAATGTTTTCTTAAAATCATGTGGAAGATGATTTTCCTGAATTTAGTTGATTAGCAATCATCTGGACAGTTAATCGACAATTGGAAAACACAGAAGCCTGCATACATTATCTTCATAACAGAAGGTCAACAGTCATCCTGGCCTTGCTTAATCCTTGAAGTCTTCACAGCTCTCACTGAAATGCTTGATCTACTTGAAGAGAACTGTTTTTTTAGTGGGTTATTTTCACAAACAGCCCTCAACATTTCGTGAATTTAATGAGAGCTTTTTCGAAGTTTCACTCAAAATTTGATGTTGATTTGTTGTTCCATTTGTTCATTAATATTATTGTCGACAAAAACAAAAAACGGACACCACACACCCACACACAGTTAAAAATACACTCCATATCTTTTACTCAGAACACTATATGAGGTAATTTTCCACAGAACTATTTAAAGCATCTTTGTCCCAGTAAATAAAACAGAGTAATATAATGCATACTACAGTGTTTTTGTCCTGTAGTGCAACACTGATATAGGTATTGACAGAGTATATACTCCATAAAATGATTATGCTAAATTTATCACACTAACGAACACAGTAATGTTTACATGTAATTTCTGTCTTGAACTTTTTTGGCATCCAAGAATTAGCTAAATGCAAAATGCTTTAGTAACACTTAAGAGAAAAAATGTCACAAATTGTCAAATGTAATTTATATTTGTTAAATCAAAAAAGATTTCATAATGTTGATGCTTATTGAAGATTAAATCTTTAAATAATACAGTTTGTGATGAGAGGGGATCGTTTAGATTAATAAAAGTGTCAAAGTCTGGCAATCTATAACTGTTGTCCAATCCACAAGCACTAATTTTTTTTTTTTTTTTTTCTATAGTTTACTTTACAAAAAGAATCCAACAAAACAGACAGAATTACAAACATGTTAATCTACTGTGCAAGTCATGGATAAGAACTTTGATCCATAACAGACTTGAAATATTTAAGATCATGGGAAGGTAAACATTATATGCATATTGTGCTGCATGTGCCCAAATCCTTGTATAATTTAAGGATCAACTTTAGTTATTTATTGGCATAGAAAGTTTTTTTAATACTACTTTTATTCACATTTTAAATTTATTTTGCAACATTTTAAAAATCATATGCATAAAAATCTTAAAATACAATTCAAAATGGACAGCAAATTTTGCAAGAAAAATATATGCTTAAATAAAATTCAAAACTATCTTCACAATATTATTAAATTTATAGTAAAAATGCAGTTGATAATATATATTAAAGCATACCAGTTCTTTAATGAAAGGAGCTGTCATAGCTCCTATTCTTCCCATCATGAGGCTTGTTCCAGAACCTACTGTGCGAACTACTGTGGGGAATATTTCAGCAGCGTGAATGGCTAAAATAATAAATGCACCACTTATACACAACTTCCCAATCATAGCAGCAGTAAGTCGAAGCCACAAGTAATCTAAAACAATAAAATCATAAATATATTTTAAAATACTTAAAAAGTTTACCATTTAAAAAAGTGTCATTCCTTGAGCAGGCTAAGCTATTATAATTAAATGATAAAAAGAGTTACATTCAATTGTAGTATTGAAAAATACTTGGCACATGCACAAAAAAGAAATATATTCAAGCCAATAATTAACAATTTGTATATTTTAATATTTGAGAATGCTTAATGAACACATCTGTACAGAAACAACTCAACTTCTCATCCTGCCATAATAAAACTGTGCCAATAAAATCAACATGAACTGCCCCATAAAAAAAGAAAAGAAAATATAACATTTATTAAAATTATGCAGTGCTGCATTCATTCACTGTACTGTTTTACATTTTTCTTTCTTTACCATTTTTATTACATAATTTTTAATTTATTTGCATAATTCAACTAAAATTCTGACTTCAGGACATAACCACAAGGTTACGTTAGGGTATTAGTATATGGAAACATGCAAAGTAGATAGTTACAAGGAGAGATGTCTATAGGACAGGGGTTCTCACCAGAGGGGAATCTCTGCCTAAGGGAATAGAGGTCAACCTTTTATTTGCATGCTAAGTACTAAATTTATGAATATAAAAACTACTTTTGTTCAAGTTTAGGTATTTATCAACATTTTCTATACTTTTGGTTATTTAATTTATAAAACACATTAAAATAATCTAAATTTAAATATATTTATATTTTTCAAGTCTTTGGGGAAAAAAAGGGGGGGGGGGATGATTAACTAGCAATAGTGAAAGGGATGAATGGGGTTAAAAAAAAGGTTGACAACCACTGCTACAGGAAGACTTTCTAAAGGAAACTGGCTCATATTCACATTACAAATGGGAAAACCTTTATTACTTACATAGTTTATAGAACAAGCAACTAATATACAATAAGAAAGTAATAAAAAAGGTACTGAAGTTAATAACCAAGTGTTACGTTTATACATCTTATTTATATATCCTTTTGATAATATAAAACTTCTAATAATGGTATATACTGTGTTAAATAAGTTAAATTTTAAACCAAGTTTTTCAGAAACTGACTGTTGAGGGTTTTATAAACAGTGTAATTATTAATTTTTTGCTTTCTAAAGGAAAAAAAAATGTGCTAAAAGTAAACTCACAGGTGTTAAAGAATATAATAGTTTTGTATCTTAATTAAGTAATGCTTAATGGGTAATAATTCAAATTTAATGTAAAAATTAGAAGTGAAAAATTGCAAACAAAACTAAAAAAACTCATCAATTTTTCTTTTCTTCTTCTTTTTTTTTTTAATTTCTATATCACATAATTAAAAAATAAGAATAATACACACAGTACTTACCAGATGGCACCATAAAAAAACATGCAATGCCCCCAATGACATCAAAAATTAAAAATGATGGTTTCCTTCGCAAGTATCTGATAAAAATCATACAAAGGAAATAGGCAGGTAATTCTACAGCTGACCCAATGAAAAAATTCAAAAAAGGATTTCCACCTAAATTGGTTTGTCCTAAGGAAAGTCCATAGAAGACAAAGGCAACAGAAAAGCTGGGAAAAAAAATAAGTTTTCATACAATTACACAAACTGACATCTGAAAAATTCTAAATACTCCAAATACATATTAAATTTTAAAAAAATTACAAAGTACATATATGGAAGTGTGAAAACTAAAGGCAAATGAGTTACAGCTGCAATAAATGGAAATATACAGAATGAAGAAAATAAAAGATTAACGAAACTGAACTGAAAGACAATTTTTTTACATGATATATTAAAATAAAAATTTCTCTTAATACATATTTAATATTTTGAATACTGGAAACCAATATGCACAATCTAAGGCAAATGAGTTTCAGAACAAAATGAAAAGATACAGTATTTTAGCATAATTCCTATTAGCATACTAGGAAGTTATTAAAAAAAAAAAAAAAAAAAAAAAAAAAAAAAATCAATAAATAACACAAAATTTACAAAATACTTTTCTGATCTATTCATAAACTAATATTTGGAATAAAACTCAGAGCTACTACAAACTTAAAATATCTGATACACATAATCATATCTTTTGACACTTATGAAACTTTTAAACTTTAGCTTATTAATGTATTTTCAGCACTCACGATAATTTTTTCAAGTACTTTAACATGAGGATTGGCAATGCAGTGCCCACAAACCAATTTTAAAATGTTCAAAAGTATCCAAGTTCTAAATTTTAGATATTAAAAATTTTATGTATAAGGACAATACAATCTCACAATTATAATGAAAAAATTTAGTAAAAATTTTCATTTATCTTCACCATTTTAAAAATTTTACAAATTGGAAAATTAAACTTTTGACAAAAGATGAATTTTAGCAGTATCTAAATAGCACTACATGACGAGAGAAATCAATTTTCAACTGCTAAAAACATTTGATTCCATATACATTGAACTATTTTCTGTTCCCATCAACCTTGTACACACTGTTCAACCACGATATGCTACGATTTACATCCATATCCTCTGTTCGTATGTCGTTTCATGAATCTGCATTTTGAGTTGAAAACAGAGTACACATTCTTCTCTTCAAATTGAAAGATACAGGAAAGTTATAGATAAAATTCCTTTTGAAATGGTTGAATAAAATAAAATTAAGAAAATAATTTTATTTCAACTAATTGTTGTAGGTCAACAAATTATTTCGGTTGCACATCAACAACAGTTTAGTTTTTATTTTTTCCTTGGCTAACAACATCTATCAACAGCATGCTATAAATAATAGTAAATTTTTTTTTTCAAATTAGTTTTTGCAATAATGAAACAAATTGTTACAACATTACAACTTTTATAATCCACATAAATTAATTCTGTTTTGATATAATTAATATCATAAATTAACTCTATTTTGATATAATTATACATTTACTTTTTATTTAATATTTATTTTCATTATTACTGCACCTGCCCCCCAGTCTTTACCAAACTCTTGCACTTCTGAAATATACCTTTCTGCTGACCCCTACGTTAACATGTTAAGTGAAAAGTCTGTTTTGTCTTCCTTCACGTTTAGTCAATTATATCTGATTTCACCAATACGCTGACAGCCAGAAATCCATACAGAATTTGATAGAAAAATTCAATTAAAAAAATTTTGTTACATCAATCAAAAGTGACTCCGACGAGACTGCTCTCTCTTGTGTATGTGCATCATTCTTTTTATTTTATGCCTTTCTTTGCGAGTTTGCCCTATTTTTGGATTAATGTGCGTCTCTTTAGGATTAATGCATGTTTTTACATACTAATATGTCTTCTTCACCGAGTAATATGGAATCTGATAGTGCTGAATTTTCCTCGCTGTGAAAGGACTGTGAAAATGGCGACGTTAAGCCTACCTTGTGGGCTCACGCCTCATGCTCGATACTCAATTATTTATGCAGCGATATTCATTCTTTTATTACAAACAGCGGTGTGAATATTAGTGATTTTATTTCTGAACTGGGAAGTTTAGATTTAGATGATTCAGAAAATGTGGAAAATATTATGTCCATGGATATTTCGAAGCTTACTCTCTTCGATACTATGCATGTTGACAATCTTGTCATGTGTTTGAAACAGTGTATCTCTCTTCTAATTGAAAAAGGTCATGGGAATGTCAAACTAGCTCGCCGTACCCATAATGAGGCTTCTAACTCAGCCGTGGCAGATTACATATATCAAGCACTCCTAAAGGATATGGAACTTTACAAGTAATACAACTATGGAACTTGTATTACATCACTTCAAGGCAAGTGCAATATTTTGTTAAACAGTAGAAAAGTTTGCCAGTTGTTAAATTGTTGTTATTATCAAACATAAAAATGATAATTCTGACATTAGTGATGGTCATGATGTTAATTTTCAAAAGCCCACTAAGACTGTTAAAGCCAGTAAATCTTAAATCCACATAAATTAATTCTGTTCGATTAGATTTCAAAATAGGTTTGCAAAGTTAAATGTAGATTCTGATGCTGATATTGTAGATTCTGATGCTGTATGTATTAATGCTGCTATTGTATCTAATTTTGTTGCTGATGATACTAATGTTCCCTCAAGTACTATAACTCTAATATTAATGACAAAATGGGCAAGATACCACCCATAATGGTCAAACTCTGGCAGGGAATTAATTTGTATGATTTTTTCAAAGCCCTAGCTAACACACTACCAGAGTGCAGTTCTCTAGCTGCCTGAACAGTCAATTTCCGAAGGTTGAACTACATACTGAAAATGATCATAGAATCCTGAGGCAATACTTCTTAGATAACTCAATAGAACATTTTGTTGTTAACCCATGCCACCGCCCAAAAAAAAGTTAAGGTACTTATTCATGGAACTGCCCTTTGACTCAGATAATAATATCATTAAAGACTCTCTTACCGAATAAAATTGTGCAGTTAACCAAATACAAAATGAAGGCACGCACCCATGCCACTATTTCAAGCACAGCTTATTCCTGAAGGAGAAATTGACATATATAATTTAACTCATCTCATGTTATTTGGTATTAAAGTTGAAAAACATGTCTCCAAAACCCAGGTCTCCCAATGCCACAAGTGTCAGAAATGACACCATTCTTCTGAGAATTGTCATGTTGCACCATGGTGTGTTAAATGTGCAGGCCATCATCGAACTGGTAATTGTGGCCATCAGGGACACCTGGATACCCCCCAGTACATGAAATGCCCAAGCCCTCACATGGCCTCCTATAGGGGTTGTCCTAAGTTCCTGAACATCTGAGCCAACGCAACCTGAATGAAAAGTATTGTGCAGGCACTGGTGGCTGCCACAGTTCTCAATCTGTTAAGAAGAAATGAATGTCATACCAGTTTTAAAAACCATTTAAAAATGTTTCTTAGACTGGCACAAAAGTAAATGATACACTTACATATTTTGTTTATGTAACAAAGCCAATTTTTTACCAATATATATATTTAAATTAAATTAAACAAACAAAGAGGATTCAATACCATTAATGCTACAGATCATAATACTTAACAGATGAAATTTTTTAAAAATTAACAAAACTTACTATGATATATATACAAAAATTGTATTCTTCCGTAAATTTGATGTTTTGAAAAGATCGATCACACTAGGGTTCTTTTTCCTTTCCTCCTGAAAGTAACAAATACTTTAGTTTTAAAATGTTTTAAAACACAGTATGCAGTTTTATGCATTTGAAATATGCAATAAAATATACAATTACCCTTTCAATACGCTCTTTAAGCTGCTTCATAGCACCAGGCATATTGTGTACTTCTAATTTATTTGTTTTAGCTGCTGTGATCATGATTTTTTCAGCACGTTCATATTTTCCTTGTGTCATCAACCATCGAGGAGATTCAGGCATAAAACTAAACCAGAAGACAAAAATCAACTACACAAAACCTGATTTGAAAAAAATAGCTTCATACAAAAAAAAAAAAAAAAAAAACTTCTTTGGTACTTATGTATTACCTCATTGACCACTGTTGACTACCACTGAACCATGAAAGTTGACAGAGATCCTACCAAAGTTGTGCCAATCATTCCGATGAAATGACGAAGAAACTTTACCTTCTTTATTTAATAAAGAATTAGTATTTGATCTACTTTGTTTTTGTACTTCATATAAAGGCTTTCATCAATTTCCACTATTTTATTTGATTCTCTGATTTAATCAGAAGCTCTTTTTAGAACATTGTGAGTATAAACTTCCCGTAAGTCATTTTTCCAACCCCTTATTGTTTTGTTCGACATACGCAGCTGAATTTATCATGTTGATTCAAACATACTTTTTTTGATAAAAGGAACCTATAGCTTTGAAAATAATCTACTACTTGCTGTTCTGTAAAAGACAGGTCCCAAATTTTAATCATAACAATACAGCAATAACAGTTAATTTATATCCTTATTGATAAAAATACAATATCTATTGGGAATCAATTGGGGTTATATCAAATGAAAGTGCAGATGTTACAAGTGCGTTGTTACTTCACGCCAATCCACAACTGATGTTAACTCATGCTGCTTGGTGCTAGTTTCATGGTCGACAAAATAACACATAAGTACCGCTTTTCCCCCACTATTTCAGTCGAAAGATTCATGCTTACATAATCAATTTGATTTTGCAGTGCAAAATTCATATATCTACACATAAATTTTTTTCCCTTTCTTCTAAACAAACACTAACATATTAATCAAAGAAATCTATAACTTACAATTTTAAAAGCATTAATATCATTAACTTTCTCAATTTAACAGCATGAAAGCAAAAATTAACTATACAGCTAGAATGCGCTTATGTAAAACTCCTAAAATTTCATGAACTATTTTATTTAATTTATGAAGACAGGTTAAAGATTCTCATTCTTTATAATTTCTTAATTAAATTAATATGCTATAAACAAAAACTTTTCACACTGTATTTGTCGAATCAATCATGCAAAGCACATAAGGGCTTATATTTTTTTTTTCTTAAAATAAATATTCAGAATATTTTTTCAAAAATCCTAAAACAATCACTGACAAGTGCACAAGTATTAGCAGAATGTTAAAATAAAATAATTCCTTCTGTGTTTTCAAGATGCAAACAAGACCTTTCCATACTGAGAATAACCAAACTATTTGTTTAATATTCTCTCTGTACACATATATAGTACATACATATACATTAAACTCTTTTTGTATAAAATCAAAATTATTTATCAGTCACTTTAACAAATTATGCACATACACATTGTGTTTTAAGATAAAGATGAGTCCAGCTTTAATTTTATTTTCCTTCCGATTCATTTTAACCAAAATATTTTTTATTAATATGGTAACTTGAGTTTGCTTTGTATTTAAATAATTTCATTGTTATTAATTAGAAAGAATACCGAAAGTATTATTACTTTTTTACTCCAAGTACTTACCCTCATAACAAAGAATTACTTTCCATTCTTTCTTATAGAAGAGATCCTGCTCCATACTCTTTTCGATGAAGTGTAGCAAATGCCACAATTTGCTACCACTGCCTTTATTAATTACATATACACAAAATATACTAAATGTTAGACAGTTACCAAAGTAATTATGATTACTAAACCTAGAATTATGCACCTCCACCTTAACAAAATACTCAACCAAACAGCACAGTTCAACAAAATATAATTTTTTATCCTCTCTACATCTAATAAATTTTATTTCAAATACACCTTTATACAATTTAATTTATATTATAGCTTTTTATGTATATTATTTATAATATTCTCCCCACATTAAAAAGTAATTTAAACATGTACCTACTAGTAATTGTGTGTCCAAAGTCTCTCTATTTTTAATTCTCAACAAAAGTACCCACAATCTCTGTACCACATTATGATACAATGGTTAGTGTAATAATAACTTGCAGAAAAATAGTTTCAGAAATTATACAAAAGTTGTGTTATCTTAATAGATATCACACATATACATACAATAAAAATTGCATTATGTTTCAAAATTATATAGCACTACAGCTGCTAACCTTAAACTATGAAAAATCAGGAACTTTCAGGACATGTTTGTGTTGTGCGATGATGCCGCTGCAAAATAATCCAATCTGACATTTTTTTTTTATAAAGCATGATTGAGGTTATTGAACTATATATAATATGATTCTGGTATAAATTATATTACTATTTAATTAAACAGCCTAACTTTTTTGGCTAATTTCATATTGTAATTTTCTTCCACTTTTATATTGAGGAAATAGAGAAGAAAAGCTTTTACTTATCAAAACACAAAAAAATATGATGAAAATAAAATTTATGATTAATATAGCTACTGTTACACAGATAAACATAGCAACATACCATCTATAAAACATTCAACAAATGTATGCAGTAGATAAAGATAATTCAGATCTAATAAAATTTAAGAAAAATTATACCAAAAATCTACAGGTTTAGAGGAATGCATTTTGCACAATTTAAGTTTTAGATATTCAATAAATTTCCTTTATTGCTAGGAAACATTTTCTTTAGCAAATATTAGAAATAAAAAATAAGGAGATTTGGTTATCTATTCGGAGATGGAAAGGTAAACCAAGACAGATGGCAGTTATGTAACACCTATTTTATTAAAGTAATGTATGTACATTATACAAAGTAATGTACATTATACACATGAAAACCACAAGATAAAATGAAATATTCAAAGCAAAATTTAAGGAGATTTGGTTATCTATTAGGAGAAGGTAAATCAAGACAGATGGCAGTTATGTAACACCTACTTTATTAAAGTAATGTATGTACATTATACAAAGTAATGTACATTATACACATGAAAACCACAAGATAAAATGAAATATTCAAAGCAAAATTTAAAACTATAATGAAAAGTCGTTAATTCGGACACCCATAATCCGGAATGATCTATAATCCGGACCTCAAAGCTAAAAACTTTCTGCGCATGCGCCGCATTGTTACATGTTCATAGGCGTTTACGCGTGCGCGTAAGACCTTTACAATGCGCATATGCGTGTGCGCAAGCGCAGAATACATTTTCGCGTGCGCGTTTTATGTATAACGGACGGCATAAGCTAAAATTATCTAATTATCTATTTCAGTTAATGTTGATGATTGCGTTGTTCCTTAATCTTCGAACTGGATCCGTCTTATTTTTTGCAGACTGTAAGAGCAATTTTATAAAAGTAAACTTGAACTTTCGATTATGTCAAATAGAATTTCCGATGCTGGAGCTCCCAAAGGATCTACAAAACGAAAGTATGTTTCGATGTCCATCAAACAAAAAGTGGAATTGCTGCAAAAAATGGATAAAGACACGAAGAAGGTGACAGAGAGGTTAGTTAAAACGAAAAAATTTCGATTGACAAGTTAGTCGGTATTCTCGGCACAGCAATTACAGGACTTGAACAGCGGAACTTTGTAACTGAACAAGAAATTATGTCTGTTTATAGAATTAAAGAGAAAGTATTATCACATAAAACGAAGCAACTTAAACAACTTACATTGAAAGAAATGTTTAATAAACTAAACAAATAAATATTAAGCTTTTTTTTTTTTTTTTGTAAATTTTGATACCCTTTAGATCATAATTGTTCTTTATTTCATAAATTACGGTTTCATATTTTTAATTTTAGAATTTCTGCATGCCATCTTATGAGATTTAAACTGATTATCTATAATCCAAAAAAATCGATAATCCGGAATCGCCAAAGTCCTGATGAGACCGGATTAACGACTTTTGACTGTACTAGACGTTTGCTTTTGTAATTGGGAAGGGCAAGTTACTGTAACAAGTTACTGAAAATGTTGAGTTTGATGGAAGAAGGGACAGGTTATTCACAACTTATAATACTTCATTCAACACCTAAATCAGAGATTCCCAATCCATTTTCTTCTATTGACCGTTTTTAAAGGAATGGTTTTCTTCAATGAATCCTTTACAGTTTTCTCTAAAATATACAGTCTGCAACATAATCATAATACAAATAATTGCATAAAAATAACTTACAGATAAAAATTAGATAAAGAATATAAACAAAAGTTTTGAAAAAGTACTTTAGTAGATTTATGTTTAATTATGTTTTGCATTATTATTTTGAATTTTACAAACAAAGTTTTCAGACCATGTTTGGCATATTAATGCAATTTTTTTTAATATTTGGATAAAACTGCTTAAGTTAACTCTTAAGTCACCTTGTTAAAAAATACTCCCCCTGTTTCTGACTTTTCATTTCAGTGTTGCACACTTCATATCTTTTTTACTGTGTGTTTTTGCATTCAAGCATTTTATTTTTTATTTTGTACTTATTGCATAAAAAATTTATATATTTAAAAAATATCATTGATTTTTAACATATATTAAATAATTTTAGTGTATTTTGCTCCTAACATTTGTTTTATATGATTTCTTCCTTACTACATGATAGTGCAGGAGGTTTCTATCAATGAACAATTAATTATCAATTTTATTAATAATTTTTTTCATAATCAATGGGATCTTGATTATGCTGATCAATGGTTGGCATATATTTGGCTACTGAATGCTTGAATATCATTGACCCCCTTTAAAATTTCATCAACCTCATTAGAAACCCAAGCTGAATTTATAGCTATTATATTAACACCCTTTGCCCTGTCATTAAAGTACCCAATTTTATTTCCACTAAAATGCTAATTTGTTTTTCCCCTTTCTGTTTGACATTTTCACTGGCACAGACAACACAATACCTGTAAGTCTGGGTATAAACTGAGAAACTCTACACAGGATGAACTGAAAGTTCAACTTACAATTGAGCACAGCCATAAAACTGGTAACAACTATCAAGAGAAAAGAATATGAGCCATCATCAACAACAGCTAGCTTATTTTCTTCAGCCACTTTGTTATTGGAAGAATGGACTAGATTAGAATTTCCACGAAAAGAACAAAACTTGTCACCAAATTTATTACATAGGTTCCAAGAAATAATGTCACAAAAGGAAAGATATAAAAACTGCAAAACTAGAATACCATAATAATGAATAAATCAGGAAAACATGCAGATATTCACATGCATAAATAAGTACTATAATAATAATACAATAACTAAAATGTATTTATGCTACTTGCAATTGTACCGACGTAAGAAATAATTACAATATAATTATCTCTAAACCACTATTTTATTTCAATGATGATGTTCTACATGACCAGGAGAAACCATATAGCAATTAAAACGTGATGTCGAGAAGTCAGTCGAGTTTGCAGGACTCTACTTAATTTACCACTTCATGACTGCAATCACTTAGGAAAATAACACATATTTTTGAGAAACTAAACACATGTGACTCAACTGTCATCCACTGTGCAAAAATAAAAAATTACAAAAAATAATTAAAAATAGCTTAAATTATTTAAAAACAAATGAATATATGCTTAGATTAAAAAAAGAGGCATTTATGGATTATTCAATATAGATACAATTAATTGTCATTTAATGTTTAACAAAAAATAAATTTTTGATAGCAAAGCTTTTTTTGCTCGAAAATATAAAATGTTGAATTTGTAATCATGAATAAATTAACATAACATATTGGTAAAGGCCTGTCATCTGGACCAGTTCCTTTTAAATTCTATATAAAGATGAACTTTTCCACAAAAAAAATGTTAATTTTGCATACACTGGCTAATTAGAGCCATTTAAATCAAACTAAAGCTTTCAATAATTAAATCTTTTTAATATGTGAATAAGTTATGAATATAAAAATAAATTATTGGCTAGATGAACACAGATTTACAAATACAAAATTCCCAAATAAAATACTTTTTTGGGGGGAGGGGTTAAAATTTCCAAATTTGCATTCATTTCATAGCTTGAAAATTAACAGCATTTATTAATCAGAGATAAATTACATAATGCAGAACAATCTGAATATATATTTTATATTATCTGCATTTAATCTGAATATATATTCCATATTATATTTTGATATTCCTTTTTTGTCTCATGGACCTGATTTAGTATTCTATATTTACCCATTCTAAAATTTTAAATCTGGCCTGTCATTCACAAAAGATAAAACCCTCAATTAAAATTGCAGAATAATAAAATAAAACTTACTATAAAATTTTCTTAAATTGTATTTTAATATAATATTTACTCTTATACATAGAATTAAAGAAAAACATTATAAGAATTTATCACAAAATTTTAGACACTTATGCTATTTGCTAACAGAAGCCTTGAACCATTTTTGTGTTTGTTGGTGCTAAACAAAATAAAAAGACAAATTTAAGTTTAAAAAAGAAAACTAATAACTTTTTTAATTCAAAATAAATTACATAAAGCTTGCTATATGAGAATATAATTTTAAAAAAAACCTTAAAAATGTAAAATCCTTACCACCAATAACTAAGTAAAATGGAAGACACAGCAGCACTAGCTAACTGCTGATAGACCCAATCCCTAATCAAGTAGGCCATCCCCGGCAGTAAAAGTAAACCAAAGGCCCAGCCAAATGAAAAAGCAAAAGTCACTCTAGTTCTATACACTGGCCCCAGAACTTCCATTACTGTAAAAATACAGAATTATCACTACGTACAAAATAGCAGTTTGAATTATAGGTAATATGATGAACATAAAGAAAAATGCTTCATAAAGAAAAAAATCTTGGCTTCATATAAAGATATAAATGATTCAAGCTGCAAATTATGAAAGGAAAAAAAATATGTAAAAGAAAGTAAAAGTGTTAGGTATACAATTCTGTTCCTTCAGTTAACTGGTCGCAAAGAATTCTGATGGAAAGAAATTGTTTATATTTAAATCACTGAATACTAAAATTGAAAAAATAATTAATTACAATCCACACTATGCTCTACAGGAAAAAATAAATTCTCAGAATTATTTCCATTTCGGCTTTTTCAATATTAAATTACCCACAGGAAAACTACATAAAACATTATATATCACAGTATACATTTATAAAATTCTGATAAAACTGGATTTTGGTCTTCCATGCCAAGATGTTCTCTGAAAGGTAAAGATACCCATAACTCCATTTTGTATAACAATATTACAAAATATATTAAAATTTATTTATTGCTGTTTACTGAAAATGAGAAAAAATTAATTATAAATCCCATTAAAACCTAGGAAAAATCACAATCTTAAAATTAGAGCCATTATTCTATTTCAAAAGTTGTGTTACACCATAAGATGAAAAATTAATGGCAATAAACACTCAAAGCCGAAAATTAAAAGCCAAAAATAACACACAGTTAACTTCTCAGACTGCAGTAAAGATTACCTAATCTTTTACTTGAACCACAGGGTTTTAAAAATGCAGAAAGCATCATGTTGCCAAAATTTATTCTTTAAAATAATATTTGCTGGAAGTATATCACTGTTTTATTTTATTTATTCTATTTTCTGAGAACAATTAAGTCCATCTTCCTTCTCTTGCTACCATTGAAATTAAAAGAATCAATTGAAGAAATACAATATTAAACTTTAAGCATAAATGCAAAAGAACAAATCAAAGAAATTTAGTATATTTTAACTGGTTAATAATATTTTCCCTTCAACATATTCACCTTTTTCGTCAAAAAGCTTTAAGACTCTTTTCAAGTAATTAAATCAAATTAAAAAGGAGCTTTAAGGATAGCTAAAGCTTAAATTAAAATACAGCTATCGCATTTACTGAATAAACAAAATCAAACAGACTGTATTGCAGATTAATAATTTTGCTGAGCTTACACTGATAAAGAAATTAAGTTTTGTAATGTTTTTGAATAAAATGTAAGGAATATTATATATGTGTGTGTGTTATAACGAATTAAATTTATAATTAGAGTAAAAATTGAAAGCAAACATCAGCATTTTCATCAAGTCATTGTAAACGGAGAACCTTGTATATGGAATTAGCGTTTGAAATTAATATTTCAGTAAATATCATCTGTAATAGCTGAAGTTTCTGTATTTGAGATATTAATACATGCTAAATATCTGAAGTGGAATATGAACAAATTTTATAATTTTGAGCATGAAAAGCTTTATTAAAAAGAAATATTTGATAAAAATACACAGAAAAATATGTAAAATTGTTAAAACCACAAACAAATAATTGATATGAGCTATTACTTATATATGTAATGTTTTCATATTTTATTAAAGGTACTTTGCTATTAAAAGCAGCTAATATATGAATAAAAAGAAAAGCATCGGTTAAAAAGAAGCATTTTACACCATATTAAAAAATTATACAAAAAATAATAGTCATTTTTATACTACAGTGTTATTCTTCATCACGCAACTGATCTAGAATTTCCATGATTATAGAATAAAGTTCTTATATGCTTTTACATTTATACATCAATATTAAATTGTTACAATTTCTTTAAGCATTACTACTTACAAATGGATAACCATACATATTAAAATATGAATGCAATTTGAATAACTGTTTGGAAAAATTAAACATTCTAATTTTTTTTTCCTTTGAATAATGCGATTAATACAAAAACTTCAATTACATATTTAAGTGAATTAATTTATTATGCATTCTCAGAATATTCAAACATAAACACCTCTTAATTTGGAAAATCTTAAACTTTTTTAAATAAAAATTAGTGTATATATTTTCTTATTACTCAATATAAATACGTAATAATAAATTGTTAAAAAGGAAGCCAAAAATAAACATGTTTTTTAATACTGGATAATAAATACACTTCCTTTCAAACAATACTTTTTTCCCATATTATATCATTTTAAATCAATTAATAAGAATAAAATACTAAGGCAACTCTCATCTCATAATTGCTATAAATTTTAGAAAAGAATTACTTGTATGCAACTACCTATGCTACTGCCAATATTGAATAAATACCTAGTTTTACTTCATCAGTAATAAAACATTGCATCGCAAAAAATGAAATACAGAGGGTATTTGCACATTTTTGTAATGATTTTGCAAAGATTTATATATAAACAAACCTTAGAATTTTATTTTCTAACATGTGCAGTCTGATAGCCCTTTTGTTGAATTTGATTTCCAAGATAAAAGTTTTTTTCTTAAAACATCAAGGCTGATTTTATTCCATTCCTCCTTCACAATCTTCCAGAGTCCATCCAATGTTTTGGGGTTCCGCTTATAAACAGCTTGTTTTAAAAGTCCAGATGCACAGTAATCCTTAGGAGACAAATCAAGGGACTTGGATGAGATGCATTTAAAGGAAACACTTTCAATTCTGGTTTCATTTCTCAGTCAATCAGTTAGAATCAGGTATACAGAGATAAGTTTTTTTCAAAAATAGAGCAGTAGATTTAGAGGTATGGCTTGAAGCCTTATCCCAATGGAACTAGAAACAGTGAAGATTGTTTGGATAAAGAGATGGAATTTCTTCTTTAAAAATAGGTGTTAAAACATATTTCTGATAGTAATCCAAATATATATATATATATCAATCAAATATATATCATATCCTAACATATCAAGTCTTTTTCTCTTTCTCGCTAGTAAATCAATCTTTTCCTATTGCAATCAGATAAGTATATACAAGTCTCATCAATTTTAACTATATATTTCTATTTTTCACCTGCCAAATAATTTTCTTGCATCAATCTGCACATAGTGTCACACTGAGAAAATTTGTTTTGGGATTAGGCGATGAATATCATGTTTTTTGTTTTAATTAGCTTTAAATCAGATTTTATAGCTTTAAATCAGATTTTATAATTTTGTTCACAGTTCCTACAAAGATATTTAAAGATTTTCCCATAACTGTTTGGGCCCTGGATTTTCCTTTAAAGCATGGGATCCAACTTTAGATTTAATAATGTACTGTATGTACTTTTGTTGGGTATGCACTTTTTGTCTTTTTCCCAGTCAGATATAAATTTTAACATTTCTTTTCTTTCATATTATGTCACTTATTTTACATGTAGAAATATTAAAAACATGCTTTTCACATTTTTTTAAAAATAACTGAATAAGAGTATTTCTCTTTGGACAGCGCAAAAATATAGCCTTTGATCCATTGTTTATTTTTCAGCAATATTAAAAAAAAAAAAAAAAAAATTAATGCTGTAGAGGATAATTGAACCTTATTCCAATTTGATGCCAGTCAAGTTCATATTTTAAAATTGATATTTAAATTCAATTATTAAAAATTATAAAATTGTTACAAAAATGTATGAACACCCTCTGTTACTAGAAAAACTAGAACTCCTTTTACATCATATATATATATATTATTTTTTTGAAATTTGATTTTATTTCCTCTACATCAAAATGAACATAAAATTAAAACTTTAAATGATAAAAATAAATTTAAAAAATTGACTTAGGTGCTGTAAAAAGAATATACTTACACAAACAAAATGATGTATTTTGAGTACCAGCAACACCAAGAGCAAGGAAAAACCTGGCAATACTAAAGAAAGTGTATGTGGGAGCAAAGGCAGTGATTATACTAGCCACTAGCATCAGAGTTACAGAAAGATTCAAAATTATTTGTCTACCATATCTGTAAGAAATCAAATATATCTAAAATTATTTCATATTTACCATGTGTTAACTTCACAAATATTTCATAAGTAAATGCTATAAACTCTAACATTAAACTATTGTTAACTGAACAAAAGAATCAGGTATACAGAGATAAGTTTATCTAGACAGAGAACACAATAATGATAAGTTTTTTCCCAACACAGCATATATTAACTTGTTTGCTGCCCGACATGTGAAAGAACACCATCTCCCACAGACCAACAGCCTATTTTTATAAAGAAATACCCAGTGTTGTAGCTGGAAGGGGAGCAGTCTGCCTCAGGTGGGAAATTTTTAATGATGTTATTTTTTTTCCATAAAACATTATTTTATAGAGGTTAGTCAGGTGGATCACTAAGACAGATCGATAGAATCTGGACAGAAATCTATGCTAAGCACAAGGTTGTTGCTTTGCTACCTTTAGATATTTCAGAGTTTTATTTCCATTATTCCTTGGGAAAACAAAACAGGAACATGGAAAGATAGTCCTTTTGAATTTTTGCAGTTTATTCTAAAGTGCAATCTCCTAAACCAAGTTTCAAATATCGTAGTATTAGTGTAAATTTTTTCCTCCATTGCTGTAAGTATTCTATTTGAGAAAAGCATTTTGTAAATAAAAGTGCTTTTAAGAAGCCTTTAAGAACTACAAATGTATATTTTGCATTTAAGAAATTACTGTCTACATAATAGCAAGTGCAATCATAGATCTCCATGATGTCATCAATGGTTTTACGAACAAAAAAACAAGCAATTTAATTTTAAAATATTGGAATTAAGCCTTTCTTTAAAAAAAAAAAAAAAAAAAAAAAAAAAAAAAAAAAAAAAAAAACTATAGCATTTTAATTTATTTCCTTACTAGTTTTTTTGACATTTTTTGCAGTTATTTGTATATCAAGAGAGGCAGCACATTCAGAGACCGTCTCAGGCAGTGGTAATACCCAAAACTAATTCCAATATGAGAATCTGGAGTTGTTTTACTCATATTTCAGACACATATTCACTCATATTCAAGTCCATGAATGGTTCATTTTCTTGATAGGAGAGTCTGTCTGATATATAGGTAAATTTTAATAGACTATGCATCCTACATGAGTCTCAGTGTTTCATTAAATTTGACAAGGAAAAACATATTTGAAGAGGGAAAAAAAATCTTATAACAAAGATAAACATTTACCAAAAAAGGAACATAGAACACTTTACTAACAATTATAATGCAAAACTTGTGGAATGATATTATGGTATATAACAAAACATGGATCTTATCAATATGCAACAATGGTCATACGTACATTGCTATGTAAATGTAAATATAATCTATAAATAGTAATGTAAATACAATCTGTAAGTCAGGACCTCAGACCAGGCGTCACAGATACGAGTCTCAGCATCTTATGATGAATTTAATACCAGCACACTTCACCAACAAATTATAAAGAGACACCACACCTATACCACATTACCATGTAAATGAGTCAATCTGTTGGAAGAAACTGTATGGCCCATATATAAGCCACACTTAAAAATTCATACAGTGAATTCAAGTTAAAAGAGACATAAACAGTTCATTTATATCATACTTGATCATATTTTTTCAAAGGTTTTGCTTTCTCCAAATTCAAGAATTCTTAAATTAGTAATTTAATGTGCCATATATTTCTGTATATAAGACAAGAATATTTGGAACTTTTTCTAAAGCTAAATTATGGGGATTGGCTTATATACAGATCCGCTAAACTTGTAAAAAACATAGGAATTTTTTCGCTTAATTGAGTGTATTACTTAAGTATAATCCTTTATTAAGTATTAGTAATCCTTTATTAAGTAATAAATCATTAACAATCATGCTTTTTTCTTTCACTTATATTCAAGTATATGAAAAAATTAGTTTTAAATTAAATGAATTATTCGTTTCATGAAAATTGTTTTATTTTCGAAATTTTTTCTAAAAGATGGTTTGTTACATCACTGCCAAAACAAAAGATATGTTCGTGAAATTTGTGCCCAGATTTCTACCCTACTGAACTTCTTTTTTATTTACGTAGAAATGCCAAGCAGCCACACTATTGTTAGAATTTTCAGCAAACATAATCATGTGTTGTTTTAAATTTGCCATTACGAACTTCTCTTCCCGCTGATCTTTCAGGCAAGAACTAAAAAGGCACAGAAAATCATACTAGCACAGACACCACAGATCATATACAAGACAACAAAAGAATGGGATTAATGTGATAGCTTCACAGATAGGATTACTAGATTTAAAACTACCGTTGTTGGCAACTGAATTTTACTTTATAGCAATTTGATTGGAAAATATCCTTATTATTTTATCTGCTTAGCAACATTTTTACCTCATAATGAAATGTTAAAATATCACAAGAATTTTTTCCTCCATTTTGGCTTAAATATGGATTTTGAATATTGAGTAAACTTTTTAAGAAAAAATATATGCTTGACTTATTCACAGATCAGCTTATATTCAGAAAAGTACAGCATTTCTTCAGATTTAAGCTTCCTTTTTTAGGAACTCAAAAATTTCTAATTTCTTCAACAAAATGTTTATTTATAAAAGACCTGTTTCATAGAAAAAGAGATTGAGTAAAAAGAAAAAGAAATCCATGTATATTTTTTCAATATACTTTGAAGAGTATATTGAAAAAATATACATTACAGAGCTACTGAAAAATATTTAAAAAAAAATTAAGTATTTATATTTAAATCGCTTACAATTTTTGTTAAATGCTTTTCAACGCATTCAAATAGTTTATATACTTACTGGAGTGATCATATGTTCACCCATAAAACTTCAAAAAAAAATTTTTTTTTTCTTGTTTAACATTAATATAGGTTTTAAACTAGAGGGTGCGTTTTTTATCATTTCCAAATTCTACAACCATACGTAATATATTTCTGCCATAGAATTTTCTTTTAATTATCTTCCTATCATCTAAATCAAAATCAAAATCTCACAGATGTGATAAAACTCTTTAATTATCTGAAACAGTACAAATACCATATTCTCTCATGTATAGGCAGGCAGGCCTAATCAACATCAGTAGGTCAGTCAGATTGCTCTACTTCTTGAATGTCATAGTCCTTGGTTCTGACCTTTCAGACCAAATCTTCACAGTGTCATACGACGTAACATTAGTACCTAAAGCTGTACACATGATTTGGTGACATTCTGTAGCTGACTCTTTGCAACAAAACTGGATATAAATGATGGTTCTAATCTAGTAGCATGATAGTTCCATTTCAGACACTTGTACTTAACGATAACGATACATTTTATAAATTTCACAACCAGCAACTCTTTTTCTTTTCAAATGCCAAAAATTGTTTGATAAAATATGATTAAACACACCAACACAACTGTTTGCACAGATGATATTTGTGGTGGTGGGAAACTTTCGTTAAAACCCAATATATACCAGGTAACAAGGAATATCTTGACCAGATAAATGCAGTCATGCCATTTGGAGTTAAATGTGTTTAAGAAATAAACACAGACATTGTGTATGAAAATTGATAATTTTGATTACCCATGTTTTTTTATTACTCATGACCTGTTTGCCTAGCATTAGCCAAAGATAATCGAGAATATTGCACACTGTAGTTACATTTACCAGATGTTCCTGTTCATTCTAAAAGGACAAAACAAATTCAGAGGTTAAACACAAATTAAAAAGCATACTATTTAAATCTACATATAACTATAAAGAAAAAGTGAAATATCAGTTTCTGATGCTCTCAGATTAAGTGATGAGCACTGATATGCTGATGGTTGTGAAATGTTTTGATCAATACAAAGTTTTACAAAAACTGATCATATTCACAGACACTTATAGAATTTTTATTCTAGAAAACAGTGGAGGCTTCAGGCATTGGCATACAGCCAACTTGTAACATTATTACTATATTTTTTTAAAAAAATTAAACTATGTTTATGACTATTGATCATAATACAAAAAATAAAAAAACTGCATGTGTATATTATTAACTTTTTTAGCATTTGAAAACTTATAAATTACTTGTATGAAAATGCTTTTGGCATAAATTAAAGAATTTTTCATAATGGTAAAGCACAAAGAAATATCACTGAATGACATTAATACATTCAATGCCATCTATGAGAATATTCACAATTGACAAAATGAGATTACTTTTTAGCCAGGGCCGGACCATAGCATAGACAAATAAGACAAATGTCTAGGGCCTAACTTTTGGGGGAGGGTCCAGTCAAACCCCCCACTTTGAAAAAATGTAAAAATAAAATAAAGGTTTCCTTTTATTATATAAAATAAATAAAAATTTATCCATATACTCAATTCAAATGTAATCTAAATCTACAAATATCCTTTTCTATCAAGATGTACTGATATAAACGGTCCACTGTAGATGAACAACATTTTACTGATTAGCTGATCTATAGGTGGGCGTAACATGTGATATTGGGAATGTTCTGGATAATGTGCAAAAGGTCTAGTAAAAACATTAAGCATAGCAAAAGAAGAGAGAGAAACGATTTTTGGCTCTAAATATTAAATTTCTGGAAAGTGATTAGCTAGTTGAAGTAGATTTTTATATCATAAATTGTATAAATATTTTATATAAAATGAATTATCATCATGCTTCCTGTGCCGGAAAAAAGGACGAGTAAGAAGGAAATGCAGGAAGAAACAGATAAACAAAAAGTGCTCTGTTTAAGTATGTTGTTAATATTAAAACTGATAATACTGATGTGGAAGTTCAGTCTGAAGCAAAGATTACAGAAAAAGGATTTGGGGAATATTCTGGAAACCAGGAACCTGTAGAAATGATAGAAAGAAATGAAACTGAAATTGAAGTAATAGAAATGAAAAACATAGAAGGCATACAAGATATTGTGCAGAAAAACCAAAATGCAAGTGATGAAGTAATTGAAAATATAAAATATGTATCCAACACCATTAAGTGCTGAAGAAGAAATTAAAAATATAAAATATGTATCCAACACCGTAGTTTTTTAAATTTGTGGCCTTTAAATTTAAGACCAGACATGGATTATTTTTTTAACAACAGATATGCAACATTATTTGCTTAAAAACAAACCATCCTCAAATATTTCATTTATAGATACTGCTAAATATGTGTTAATAAAGGGTGGAAAAAACTAACTCGGTCATTAAAGAAAAATATTTCTATTTACAAGAAAACAAATGGTGAAAAAGTTGAACGAGAATGGTCAGTGTACAGTCCAAAAAGAAAAGCAATTTACTGCTATGTTTGCAAGATATTTTCGATCCAACGAACAACTTTTATAGAACGATACTCAGACTGAAAAAAATACAAATATAAGAGTGCAAGAGCACCAAAATTCTACTTATCATAGAAATTTCATTAAAATTTTAATAGTAAGAAATTTAGTTGAGGGACATATAGACACTATCATTGAAAAACGGTATTTAGAAGAAAAATATATATATATATTGGAGAAAAGTACTGCTTCGAGTAGTAGCAACAATAAAGATTTTGGCTAAAATTTCTCTTGCACTTTGTGGCAGTAATGAACTCTTTTCTGCCTCTCATAGTGGAAATTGTAGAAGCTCCAGAATATTTTGCTGAATTTGATGAGGTCTTAGTTTAACATATAAAAAAATTCGGGTCAGCTGAAAGAGGCAACAGGAGTTATCTTTTGTCAACTATTTGAGATGAATTTATTGAAATATTGAACAAAAAATGTTAGAAACATTTGTGTCAGAAATTACAGCTACTAAATATTTTTCAATTATAATTGTCTCTACCCCTGATATAACACATGAAGACTAGTTAACTTTTATATTGCATTATGTATCAGAAGATGGAATCCCCAATAGAGAGATTATTTGGATTTTTACCAATTTATTTGCACACAGGAGAATCATTAGAAAATGAAGTTTTAAAGAACCTTGAAATATTATGCCTGAATATTTGCAACTGTAGAGGACAAAGCTACGACAATGCGGCAAATATGTCTGGAAAATACAATAACTCCAAAACCGCATTAAAAGCATAGTCAAACAGCCTATTACGTTCCTTGTGCATCACATTCGTTAAATCTGACAGTAAGTAGTGCTAGAGAAGCATGTTTGCAAGCAATAACATATTTTAATCTATTGGAGAACATTTATACATTTTTTTCCACCGTCTACTCACAGGTGGAACACTTTAGAAAAAAGTTTTGCAGTAAATAATAAACATTTTACAGAAAAAAAAAAAAAATTATGTACTACTAGGTGGCCTTGTACAGCTGATGCAGTTAAAGCAATTCACTCTGGGTTCAATGAAATAAAAAATGCTCTACTTAGTGTATCTCTAGATGAATCTAAAAAATGTCCCATAAAACTGGAATCCCAAGAAATAGCAAACAAAATTAATGATTTACAATTCATTTTATTAACAGTTATTTGGGATAAAATTCTTTCCAGAATAAATGCAAGCAGTATATTCTTACAAGCCCCTAATATGCCAATTTTGTCTGTGGCAAGTACTTTTTACAATTTATTTAATTATATTAATAGTTTACGAAATTTATTTCTACAAACAGAAGCATTATGCGCATCAGAAATAAAACCTTATTCCAATACTAATAAAAGGTCACAAAAAATTTTTTTACAGAGTTCATCATGATGAGGACAACAAAAGTTAATGTAATCAGGCCCAAGAAGGCTTTAAACAAAATTGCTTTTACGTAATATGTAATAAAACATATTTTGAACTGAAACTACTTAGCAAACATCACAAAGACATAAATGACAGTTTAAAAATAATTCATACAAATTCAAATGACAATGTGTCAATTAAATATGAAGATGCCACATTACTAAAAAAATGTACACTGAAGACATTGATACAAAAGAATTGGATGAGAAACTGTTATAATTTCTATTACTTTTCAAAAACCAAATTTTAACATTGCCATCTGACATGCTACGATTTATAAAGACTTGTATCGACATTTCCAAATATGGAAATCATATTGCGTATATTTTTAACTTTGCCTGTATTGAATGCATCTGGTATAAGATCGTTTTCGGTGTTAAAATGCATAAAACAATATTTTCAAAACTCATTAATTTAAACAAAATTAATGTCTTTGGCTGTACCATACATAGAACAAAATGTGTTGAATAATATTAATTATGAAGAAATAATTGATAAATTTGCAGAATTGAAAGACAGAAAAAAAAGGATTTCTGAATTAATTTCATAATCATTTTTTCAAAACTATGCTTTTAACATTTAATAGAATAAATTTCATTTTCTTAATTTATGACATACAAACAAAGAGTTCCAATTCTAGTGCATTGCACTGAAAAATAATAAAATGCATGTTTATAATTATGCTAACAATGGAAACTGTATTAAAGATTTTTTGGAAACTGACTATTTTTGATAATTATTATTATATACCTAGAATTTATTATTTTGTTAGAAAGTTCTTGTAAAAATGACAAAACACCTCGGATGTAGGGGGCCTGGCAGGGAAAGGTCTAGGGGCTTAAAATATGTTAATCCATCCCTGTTGTCAGCTATAAGAATACTCATAATTGATTATCTTACCTAAATCACTTAAGTACATGAGTACCACTGTAGCAAATGCATGCAATATTTAGGTTTTCGGCATACGGGAAGGGATTACACTGAAATGGACTATTTATTTCTCAAACTGCCAATACCAACTTTCTCAAACTTCCAATAAATAAATACTTAGAACGCAAAAATATATTTATTCATAGCATATGTTGAAGACTGTAACAAATAAGATATTTTTATTACATGATTGAGTATGGTGAAATATGAGTATACTCATATGAATTTATTTATGATTAAAAGTGATCTGTTTACATTTAAATAATAAAACAACACAACACATTTTAAAAGCATAAAAGTGCAATGATCTTGATAAGTGTAAATAGATGCACTATATAACCTCTAGCAGTGAATGCATTAAATTGGGAAAAAGAAATCAGCATTAAATTATTCTAATTTGTTTTTAAATTAACCCCTAAAGAGCAATAAATTTGGTTTTTTCTTTTGACACTGTAAAATTTACATAAAATCTAAAATTAATTTTCATTTCTGTCAATTTTCATCAGTCAGGAGACAAACATTTTGTATTTTATTTTTTAGAATGAGCACGAACTTATTAAATATAACTATATGGACCTAGAAGACAAAAATTTGGATTTCACTGTTTTTACAAAATCATTTTTCTTTAAAGTTAAAAACTATTATAAAATATATATATAGATATATAGATATGTATATGTATGTGTGTGTGCAATAATAATAAAAGCACAAGAAAATGCCGGACCAATGTCGATGCGTGCTTAGATCCATATTGAAGAATTTTGATTGCGTAGTATGCTAATAATGTTCTTGGTAATGTCTAAAGAACTTGGTAGTCCATGCAGTTTTAATTCCATTTTTATTCGCAATTGATATTTGTGGCCACAATCACTTGGCACTCTAGTCGTGCCTTTCCACAGAAGATTTACATTTTTGATGTTGTTAAGATAGAAAGCAAGCCAGCGAAATTACATCTTAGCACAGCAGAGAGCAAAGCTGAAGTGCGTAGTTATGCAAGATGGAAGCATGCGAAGAGAAAAGTTTTGGTTTGCAATTTGGTGATTGGTCAAGAGGCCTCTATCTGCATTAAGGGTTACGTAACATAGTATGATTCATTTGAATGATGCAGTTTAGACTTAAGTGCTATTTTTAGGACAGATAGATGAAGTTTCCAAATGAAATAGAAAATAAAAGAGGTTATAGTGAATTAAATTTAGAAGTTTGCTTTCATATTTTTTTATCTTACATATATACATATTGCATCATTTAAAATACTTCTTCTTCAATTGGAGTTAATGTCCATAACCAATACTTGCAAAAATTAAGGCTGCAAAAGAAGTTTTACAGACATGGTGTATACTGGAAGATATTTTTTAAATTAATTTGGTTTTATCAGTAGAAAAATTAAATTTACCTGTCAGCTAGATGGCCAAAGATAAACACTCCACACATCATTCCAGCCATGTAGTTGAACTGCGTAAAGGAAATAAGCCAGTCTCTTCCACACACCAAGTTATACTGGAACAATCAAGGACTTAAAGCCTCCATCTGGCATGAAAACAATCAGTAAAATATGTTGCACAAAATCATAATCTTGGGAACAATTTTTTAAATATCTACCATTCTTTTTTAAACATCTGCTATAGTAATATAAAAAATATCATTAAATATAACTGTATCTAAGTTAATCATTTAAAATATGAAGTGCACTATTTATCACTTACAGTATCACTTACAGCTATTTTATTTCAAACATCCAAACATTTCAAAGCTGCATTTGAAGTTTTATAACTGACTTGCCTTGTTCACCAGTGTGGTGACCGGGTGTGAAAGAATAGTTCCAGCATAGCCTATGCATGGCATAAAAGGCAACTAAAATATGTATCTAATGTCTAGGGGTACATAAAGCCAGGTACCTTGCCCTTGGAGATTAAATCAGGGGATTGGTCCCACAGGCTGAAGATTGAATGTGAAACTAACAACCTCATCCCATAAAATTCCTATTGTAAATTGAAAGCAAAAAAAAAGTTTTCTGGACTGTCTATACAGAGGTGATTTATAAGGGATTTTAGGGATCTGAGATTTAGAGCATAGAATCTGCATTTGCTTTACAGAAGCAACAGACTTTCTATTTTAATAGAATTAATGGATGATTATAAAATTGACTTGATGACACTCCAAGAAATAACATGGACTGGATACGGAACTCAGGATGAGAGAAATTCCACTATACTTTACAGCTGTAATCCTCAGAAACATGTGTTTGACACGGGTTTCATTGTTCATAAAAGGATTAGACATATTATTATCAATTTTGAGATCAAGTCTCCAGATTATGGAAGTTAGTTATAAATTTCGTTTTCTTAATTTATGACATACAAACAAAAAGTTCCAATTCTATTGATTGTATTGATAAATAATAAAATGCATGTTTATAATTATGCTAACAATGGAAACTGTATTAAAGATTTTTTTGGAAACTATTTTTGATAATTATTATTATAAACCTAGAATTTATTATTTTGTTAGAAAGTTCTTGTAAAAATTACATAACATCCCGGATGTAGGGGGCCCAGCAGGAAAAATTGTCTAGGGCCCTAAATAGGCTAATCCATCCCTGTTGTGAGATTAGATCGAGGAACAGTTTCTTTAATTACAGTTTAATTAAAATACATGCATTAACTGAAGATAAAGATGAGGAGGAGAAGGATACTTTTTATGAAATGTCCACGCACTGTATTCTGCTAGCCCAAAACATAATATCGAGATTGTACTGGAAGATGCAAATGCCAAGATAGAAAAGGAAAATAGTTTCAGACCTACCATTGGTGGGCATAGCCTACATCACAAATCAACTGATAATGAGCAGAAACTGATATTTTTTGCTATGGAACATGATATGGTGGTGGCCAGTACTTGCTTTCCAAGCAAAAGTATTCACAGAAAGACTTCAAGTTCTTCAGATCGTGACAAATTCAATCAGACTGACCACGTCTTAATTGACACCAGACATGCTCCAGACAAATTGGATGCCAGGTCATATCGGGCAGCAAATTTTGACTCTGACAATAACTTGGTTATGATGAAAATCAGCGTAAGAATCTGTAATGCCCGTAAAAATTGGAGGGTGAAATTTGAGAAATTTAATTGTCTATTGTTAAAAAAGAAAGATATGAAGCAGAGACACCACAATGAGTAGGAAACTCAATTAAAAACCTCAAATTGGAGGAACTGAAGTGTAGTAATGAGAAATGGAATTTGTTAAAAAGTGCTATTATTGAAACTGGCAACAGAGCCTTAGGAAAAGCAAAAAAGGGAGTGATATGTGGTTTGATAAAGAATGTAGGACTGCCACTGACCTCAAAAATGAGGCATCTACAAATATGCTTCAAAGAAAGCATACTAGATTTGCTGTTGACGAATATAAATGTGCTAGAAAAAAGAAAAAGAGATCCACCATGTTAAAAAGAGGAACTTTCATGAAAATCTTCTAAGGGGAACTTTCATGAAAATCTTCTAAGGGGAACTTTCATGAAAATCTTCTAACAGACGTTGAGCAATTTATAGCAGTAGGAGAAAGCAGAGCTTTCTTTTATGAAATCAATCTTGAATGGAGAAGTTTTAAACTAGAACACCATCTTGTAGAGGGAAAGACGGTTCTATCTTAAGTAATAAAAATAACATCCTACAGAGATGGAGGGAGCCCCTGAATGAGCCGCTGAATTCCAACCTATATACAAAGAATAGTGAAATAACAAATAGAAACATTAAGCCTATTGATCCCCCTCTCTGGAAAAGATAAATCATGCTAAAAAGAAATTTTTTAAAAAAACTCCTGGGCCAGACAAAGTTTGTTCAGAAGTATTAAAAACTGAGGGAACCAGTTATCTAATCAAGGACTTAATTCAACTCATCTGGGATTATGAGACACTTTCAACAGAATGAAACTTAGTACTGTGTTTGATACACAAAATGAGAGATGTGCTTGATTGCAGCAATTACAGAAGAATTAGTATTCTATGCAGATCCTGTAAAATACTTTTAACTATTCTTTTTAAGACTTTTGTCTTATACTGATAATGCAATCGGCAACTATCAATGCAGCTTTAGAAGGGGAAGATTCAGATTTTCAACCTCAAGCAGATTTTTGAAAAATGCAGAAAATTTTGAATTGAAACACATAATCTTTTTATCAATTTCAGAACTACATATGATTGTATTAATAGGAAGTTACTTATTAAGGTCATGCATGAACTAATATTCCCAAAACACTTGTTGCACCAGTGGCTTTTACTTTTAAGGAAACTAAGATACAAATCTGTTTACAAGAATAACTTACAGAACTTAAGGTCAAGAATGGAGTGAGAGAGGGAGATACATTGGCATATCTCCTGTTTAATACTGCACTCAAAAAGTTATTAATATGAGAATCAATACTACAGGAAATAGTTTTAATAAGACTATTCAATTACTGGCTTATGCAGATGGTATTTGTATTGTTACCCATGATGTTCCTGCTCTTAAACAGGCATTCATGGCACTGGAAAAAAGTTAAAAAAGATTAACCTTTCTGTCAATGAAAATAAAACTAAGCATATGCATTGTTTAAAATCTGACTAACCACTCAGTCATTTAGAAATTAGTAGTTATAGATTTGAAAAAGTCTAGGGAGTAGAGATAAATTGTAAAAATGACAAATTCTGAAAAACTTAAACAGAATCTCCACTGCAAATAAATGTTTTCATGGCTTGAAGAGCTATTTAAAATCCAGCTTTCTCAAGTTAAGAGCTAAATTACTTCTTCACAAAAGTCTTATTAAGATCTGATCTGACTTATACATCAGAAGCTTGGGCACTGACTTTATGTGACAAGGAAGCTTTGGGGATTTTTTAGAGAAGGATATTGCATTGATACTTGATGGGGCTCGTGCAAATGGATCATGGAGAAGATTATCTAATTTAGAGCTATACAAGATCTACAGACAACCTGATATAGTAAAATTCTTCAAATTACAGACTTATTGGATAGGTGGTCATTTGGATAGGATACATGAAGGTCAGTGTTGTAACAAAATCTTTCTCGGAAAGCCCATGGAAACCAGACCTAAGGTAGACATCCGATAAGATGGATCGATTGTGTTGAAAATGAGTTTAACATTCTAAGGGGGGGGGAAAAAAAAACTGGAAAACAGTTGCCGAAAGCAGGAGAATGCCAGGACCCTTCCGGGGCTGTCAAGATAATAAAGACTTGCTTTGTTAACAGCATTTTACTGTTTTAATTCTTCATTTTGACAAGCATCAAATGCTAACACAATAAGAATAAAAATGCCCTTTTCTAATTCTGCTCATCTTAGACTTTAGCTACATTCCAGCAACTTCAGGAAATATTAGGGGCTTTGCTTCCTTTTAGTTTCCTTGATGTAAAATATCAACTACAACAAAAAGTATTTATATGAAAGGGTCGTAAGTATATTATTAACTATGCAAAAACCATGAAGCTTCTTTTAAGATAATTACCTATCATTCCATACAGTTTTGGTTTTCGTGAAGTTATTTCTCATAGAGAGCACTATTAGATATTGTTCTGTTATCAGGACCAGATCCAGAAATGTATGTACGCATGGATGTATGTGTTCATGTATGCATGTATACATGTAAGTATGAATGTATGTGTGTGTGCATATACACATATATGCACATACACGCACATGTGCATACATTCATACATTTCTGAATCCGGTCCCGATAACAGAACAGTACCCATTATTACTTTGGTTCATAAAAAAAATTTTGCAGCTATAATAAGAACCAGAAATAAACTCCTTGAATTATGCAGTATCTCTAATTTGACAGCAAAATTAGACAGGGATCAGCAAAGTAGGTTAGAGTAGACTGAAGTATGCCCCTTGTATTATCGTGAAGTTGTTGTTTCATTTATGGTAACCTGAGTAGTTGAATGTTACGGAAACCCTATTATGATGTAATCGGTTGCATGATTGCGGTAAATGTTTTAATTATGGGAAAAGATTTGTAAGGGCTTATCGTGTGTGTTAGGAAGTACACTGCTTGCTTTGTGGTTTAGAAGGTAGAATGGCTAAATGAGGTAAGATTAATTTGAAGTTTCTGTACGATTTGGAACGAAAGGGTAAAACAGCATTAATTGAGTGGTCTGTAAATGAAGGTTTACTTAGAAGCCATTATAAGTGTCCTGTTTTGTAAGAAGGAAATGCGCAAGTTTAAACGTCAGAAGTTACTGGTACAATGGAGGATATTTTTTACTCTTATTTTTGTGAATTTATGTGGCATCGCCAGTATACAGATTCTAGTTCAGATAATTGCAGGAAGATTTTGAATGCTGTTAAGGAATTCTGTTTGACTGAAGAAAAGGAAATTTCTAAATAAGGCAAGTGGATAGTTCCTTTTGTGTAGTGCCAAGATGAATTTCCTTGATTGCTTGATTTAAAATGTAGTTTATTTAGATTATATATTTTTTGTTGGCTGCTGCTTTGACTTTTTAAGTGAATATAGATTGATGTGTATATGGACAATGTTAAGGGAGTGCACAATGCCAAATTTATGCAATTCTCTGACGATTTTTTTAAAGTAAAAATAGGTCGATGTGTACATGGATACCGAGTTTGTGCAATTCTTTGACTTTTTATTTTGTCTTTGTGTGCCGAATTTTGGCTCAAACATTGTCACTAAACAAAGCCAAAATAACAACTCAATTGCATAAACTCAGTATCCATGCACCCCCAAAAATCGGCGAGGGGCACCCATAAATATATTTTTACCAAGTAATTTTAAAGTGGCTGCCATTCAAATACCTAAATTCCAAATTTCAGATATCTTTACATATATGACCTCTGTTTGGACATAAACTTATCGTTTCATGTATTTGTATTCCAAGTTGCAAGCAGAATATCACCATACAAAGGAAATAAGAATGGAAGACATGCTTTAATGTTTAGTGGGAAGAACAATTTGTTTAATTTATTATTAAAAAAATGTGCATGCTCGTAATATAGTTCAACGGTACCAGTTACTAAAAATTGTAACATAGAGAGACATTCATCACTAGTACTGTGCACACTGAACTTCCACATTTCTGAAATATCCCCTATTAGCAAAAATGTTTGCCCTTCTCTGATTTTAAAAGTAACAACCTTAGAGAATGCTATTATATATTATTTCACAGTATTATAAAAGAATAATTATTTACTTGATACATATTTTGATATATGTATGGTTTCACTAAACAAAATCAGAACATCTTCATTATATTCTCAAATAATTTTACTCTTAAAAACTGGAAGACAAATTCTTAGAATCATTTAAAAATTTTCAAGGTGTTAGATAATATTTCTTTTACTATCGATCTCCTATTTTTAAAGAACAATCAACACAAAATATATTAGTGCATTTATATCTGAGAATATATCAGAATAAGGAACATTTGAGAATAGATTAAATTAATGAACTCAAAATATACAGACTAATTAAAAAAAAAAAACTATCAAATAACATACTTCTTGTGTAAGAGTATTTGTATAAAATGAAGAATCAAATTCCCAGGCACTACAAGGAACAGTCTTATTTCTATTGATGATAGCATCGCCGTCAATAACTACGGTTTCAAACATACTGCAACGACTCGGCGTGTACAAACCATCACTGTATTCTAAAGGAATTGCAGAATTGCGCCACTGGCTTTCAGTCCAGTTAAGGCCCTTTGGCTGGGCACACCACACATCTTGTTTGGGTGAAAAAAATGGAGTGCTTAGATTGTAAAAGGCAGTAGGTGTACCTCGGAGACAGGTTAAAATAAAAATCAATCTTTGCCAAGGCCCATATTTCCCAATAATATCTGTCACATCACGCGTAGTAGAAGTAGTAGCCTGAAAATAAAATAAATTACATTGTGGGAAAGGACTTCACCATAATCATTAAGCAAAATAAAATAAGGAAAATTTTGTTCTTTGACACTCTTCAAAAAATTTTTCTATTTAAAACAAATTTGTGAAAAATAAAACATATAAAAAAATAAAACTGAAAAATATATTGATTACCCAACCAAAGAAATTATCATAAATTCTAATATTTCTTTACCTCACATTTCCCCACAACTGCAATGTTACCTTAACAATGTCCCAACTGCAAATAAATGAAGAGTAAAAACTTATTTGAAGCCCTTTAGTACAATACAGAAATTTATATAACTCTTACTTAATTTTCTATCAAATCCAACAAAATGATTATTACTGCAGTAACCAATGTAATAACGGCTCCCTCATGAATGAACTTCATAATGACTCAGAAATAAAAAACTTGAAAGCAAACAACTTTTCCCTTTTTTATTCATAAAAATGTACTCAAAAGACAAGACAGACTATCCACACAATGATGATAGACACATCCGTATCATGATCCACATGATGAGATGTATCTATATAGATTAACAATATAAAAATGTCAGATTTAAATGACTTAGTCTTGTACATATAACACAAAGGATTAAAGCATGACTAAATGATAAAATTTCATATTCTAATTCTTTAACTCTTTCACAGAGGAATTAACTCTCACAAACTCATTTAAACACTATGTAATTTAAAATAAATCCCCAAAAAATTATTTTATAATTTTGTTTTGATTTTCATTTTCAGTTAGTAAGAGTTTGAAGTTCATTAGTTGGGATTAAGTAGATTCTGAAAAAATACAACCATTCTAATTTTCCTCACTATTTCATATTTTGAATGTGGAACATGAAATTTATCTCATAATCTTCAAGATTTTTTTAATCAAAATTTCAGAACATGCATTAATGCTACACAGGAAATATTTTCATCTAAAAATTTACAGTTTATTTTCAACAAATTTTCTAAACCTTGGAAAGGTAAATTAAACATGATTTTTTTTAAAGAAATTACTAAGAGATCAAATCTGAATTTAGAACACTGACCTTTAAACATATTCATTTAGTCATTAATTTATATAAGTGTACTTAGAAACTTAAAATTGTTTAATATACTATAATCTTTTAGGAAAAAAAACAAATGAGTCATCTAGAAGAATTTAAAAAAAATTTTCAATCCAGTTAAATAAGAAAATTAAAAGCATTTTGAGCATGTACTGACATTATAGATTTATTAGATCTTTGTTAGAGTAGAGCCGAAAATAATATATTATAGTAGAAACATGTAGCAGCACAGCAGAGAATACAGCAACTTTCTCATATGTTCCACACTTAATTAACAAAATAAAATTTATGAATATTCCGATTTTATTGATTTTACAAAATGATGGATTTGCAACTCCTAGGCTAATACTAATACACTTCATAACCATTACAAAAAATTATGGAGCTTGACTTGCATGCTTTATTATAATAATGATATGATATAAATCTAAATTCATTTTAGGAAATGCAGGAATTTTCAACTAATTCCATATGGTATATAACTGCATTACTGCAATAGGAAGGATTTATATTCTAAAAATTGAGGTTCTGAAAAACACCTCATGCCTCTTAATACAGTAATTGTTACTAAATAAACACATATTATTATACTGCTATTGTAATACTTTTAACAACCAAGATTCATGAAGCAGTAGAAAATAATTAACTATATACAGATGCTGAAAAAACTACTAACTTCTGGAATTTTCTTTTTCATAAATACCTTTCCCATTTTGACTGTATCTGTGCACATACGTATAACACACATTTACATTAATAACAAAAATTATTTACAATTTAATAGCAAACTCTGAATAGAAAAGATACATAAAATGAACAATTATACGATTTAATATCCGTCATAAAATGAAAAATTATATCATATAAAAAGACAAATTCCTAAAAGTGTTACTATCACTGTAGGAATTTTAAAAAAACGTTAATTTTTGCAGTTTTACCTTGGAAGTGTTATTCATGTTAAAATAAAATTGCGGGTGAAATGCAGAATCGCGCAAAAGAAAGTAAATTTCTAGAAAAGTGTAATACGAGGAATAACTTTTAAAATTAATTCAACTACACTGCATTATATTAAATAAAAATCCTGTTATTCCTAACAATAATGAAATGTCTAGCACTAAGAGATTGACAATCCCTATTGCTGTAACTGATTAAAGTGAACAAATATTCGGTAAAATACACATAATTATTTGAAATTAATCATGTTCAGAATAAATATCAAGAATTCTTTTTAGAGTGAAATTTAAAACATTACATAGTGTGCGCTTTTTATACGCTTTATATACCGCGCGTTTAAAAAACAAGAACTTTGATTACACGTTTGCAACAAAACTTTGGTAACTAAAACTGATTGAGTCAAATTTACAAGCTATACACTATACCAAAACTTTTCAGCAAAATTTTAACCATAAAAATTTTACTTATTCAAATGACGAAAGATTTACCTCATTTTGAGTAGAAGTTGGGCCGTTTGCCAAGAACTTATCCGATGCTTTCGATTCCATCTTCCAGCGCACAACTTCAATTACATAAGATAGAGTTTATTTTTAATTTAGAGTTATATTTCCACAAAAGGCAAACCTTTCAAAGATCTCATTATTATATTATACAAATAAACAGAAATATTTTGTACAATAAACCTAAATATACAGAAAAAGTGATCTTAACTTAAATATGATTCCCACGGCCTTTATAAAAATTATAAAAATGGAACATAAATTAAGGCAGAGCTACAATACGCTTGCTTAGCTACAGCCTTGCTACAATGAAATATACATGTCTCCGATCAATGGAACGCTGATGTGCGGCTTCCAAGTTATTAACGAACAACAAAAAGGCCGGCAGTTGTAACGAAATGACATATGCTATGAGCGCATGCGTCTTAACAGCGTCTGCTCTCCGCATTTGCGCGGTCTCGTTTCTTGCTGGGGAAGAAAAAAAAACATTCTTACGTTATGTAAGTTTAACCCGTGAGGAGAGACTAAAGCTAAGCTTTGCTAGAGATAACCTTTATAGTAGCCTTATAGGAGAGACATCACGGTGATTGCTCTAAACTAATATTAAAAAAAAAAAAAAAAAGAAAAGAAAAGAAAAGAAATGCTGAAAATGTACGATTCACATCTCATTTCATTACATTGAAGCTATTTACAAACAGATAAAATCGCAAAATCTTCTGTTTTGAAGAACATTTCTTAGACTTCTATGATTCAAAAATCTGTTGAGCTTGGCCCAACTTGGATCGCCTTATGAAAGATTAAAAAAAAATCTTTCACTGAACGCACCAGACCGTCTTTCACTTTAGGCAACTCGATGATCATATTGCCAAGCAAATATCAGGAAAGCATCAAAGTTGATTCTCAATCGAAAAATTTAAAAAAAAAAAAAAAATCTGGTATCCTTTAGATTTTATATTACGTCCAAAGGGGCGTTTTTTCAACGTTTTGTGCGTTACCGTTATTTATTAAATATCATGTTATTCGCACTTAAAATCATAAAATTCAATCCAACAACAATATCACAAAATATTTATTTAAAAGAGCATATCTTTAGAATTTCCGGTATATAGTCTCGCGCGCTGAAGATAATCCCCTCCCCCTGTATAGTCTTGCCATTGCACCGCCCAGTTGGTATGGTGGTCAGGGAAGCTGACTGCGATGACGAAGGGCCTAGGTTCGAACCCGGAGAAGGCATGGTTGTAACTGTCCGTCCCTTCATAGGAAAGGCGATGGTTGCCCACCTATTAGGTGCCTCCATAATAAAGAGACCACCACATCCGGCCTTGGATTAATGGATCCGGATTAATGGACTGGGTTACATTTGTAATTGTTCACAATCTGCCATTGGAAAAAAAAAAAAAAAAAAGTCTTGCCATTGCTTGCTTTGAAACTGTTGAGTTTCTTAATCAAGAATCATAAATGCTTTACAAAATATGAAATAGATAATAAAACAAATTCCAAATTTTAAATTTGTGCTTCCAGATGCCCATATTTGGGTGGAGACGTACGTTATTCAAAATTTGATGGCTCTAGGTAAAGTTGTTTTATCACAGTGCGAGAAACATGCATGCATTTATTATGCATATTCTTCATTATTTAATTTCTTTAAATATAATACAAAGCGATAATATTTGATGGCAACAGCTTCAAAAGTGATTCTCCGTTTATAGTGAATCGACGCAAAATGTCAAAACGAAATTAATAGCCCTTCTGAGCTAATGGTCCTTAGGGCTAAAAAAAAAGTTCACATTCTCAAGTGGAACATCGCATCCGACAACACATGATTAATGGGGAGGGAAAGATAAAAATATAGCAATAAAATAAAACTTATGACATAACAAAGTACAATAATATAACTTCAAAATGAATTACTTAAATAAATTAGAAACAATAAAAATAATTGAAATTCCTTCTGAAAAAATAGAAGTTATTGATGGTGTATTTAAATAGTTATAAAGCAGAGTTAAGAGTAGTTGGAAAAAAAAGCAGCAAATAAGATCTTTTGTTGTACTTATTATTGATTTAATTACTATGTATAGTCATTGAATAATGTGCAAAAGTATTTTGAGGTAAAATGTAATCAGTGTTTTATATATGAAATATAAAACTGAGAGTATAAATGTTTATTGAAAGCAGTCCCTTTAATTTTACGATGAGTGAAACGGCTTGCACTTTTTCACAGGCTTAATAATATTTTGAAATGTTTTTTATAGTTATAGTTTTAGTTTTTATAGTTATAGTTTTATATAGAAAGTTATCCAAATATAAGTATATTAGAGGACCATGGTGATCCAGTTGGAGTCTTGCTGCTAACCTTCTAATTTAGCCTCTAACCCCATATTACATCTCATTTGTCAAAAAAGCCCTTGAAAACGAAAAAGTATGGGGTCTCAACTGGTCCTTTAGGGGAATCTCAAGTCCCTCTGCTTCAGCAATGCTTTTGGATTATGGCAATGCTTGCTATGGTTATGTGGCTACGGTGTGCCTTCACGATATAAAAGGGACACAAATCTTGTATTCCAGTTACACATAGGGTAAACTACGCACTAAGACACTTATCTTATTGGATTAAGAGTTTTTCTCTTGCACTTCTGCCCTCCGTCCGTTCAGAAATGCACTTACGTTTGCTGGACAATTCATCGTTAGCAAGATGCTTTCCACTCAAAAAACTTTAATTTGTGAATAAATAGTTATCGTTGAAATGAAGTCAAGAGCGCATGTTAAATGTTCTCCCACCTCAAACCGAAAATTTCTAAAAATGAATTGCAAAATGAATGCAAATAATGATAGTATTGAATCTTATCAGAATGAAAGGAATTTTTGGAAACTTCTCAGATTTCGAATAGTCGCAGGAGATGACGTATTCAAAAATCATTTAGAATCATGAAGTAATAACCAGGCATAATACAAAATAAGATCATAAATACCTGGAAAAAAATATTTTGGAAAAGTGAATGCAAGCAAATGCTTTTCAATTATATCTGATGAAAGTACAGACATTCCTTCGCAAGAGCATTTATGTACCAAAAGCCCCGTTCACATGCAACGCTCCTTCGCACAGCTGCCGTTAGGAAGGGAAGGAAAAGGAGACGTGAAAGAGTTTCGTCTTTAGGACCCGTACAGAAGACCACCGTCTTCCTAAAGCCTCTGTGAACAATCACGTCTCCGAATTGGCAGATTTCTAATACTGTTTGCCCATTTTTAACGTGGTTTACTGTTATTAATTTTGTAATCTGTACTTTCGCAACTGGTATCTGAACTTTCGTAATGGTTCCTGAAAAATATATGCTTTTTATTTATTATTATTATTTATAAGCTGTTATTTAGTTCACTCTTGGTGCTTGTCGCTATGGTTAAAAGATGGTCATGGATTTTTAAACTGCTTCCCGATAAAATATAGAACTCAAACTTTGTACATACACTGCTTGTGATGTGGTTGTCACGCTTTTTGATTTTTAGAGGATTAGATTTTTTTCAAATTAAAGTCGAAACGACTTTTTTGCAAATATTAACAAATAAACTGAGAATCTCAGAATATTATAGTTGTGCACCATAACACACTGTGGAAGAAAAAAAAATTAATGAAATTTTCAGCGTAATTTTTTTAAAAATATTTTGGGAGAATTTTTAAAAATCGTTCATATTTTTAGACTTTTTGACGCCCATTAATTTTAAAATTTCATATCTAAAAATATATCGGTTACAAACTTCCGACATTTTCACAGCTTATAAAACAAACTTTTCGCATTTAAAAAAATGATAAAGGAAATTAATTGGATGATTTTTTACTTTTTTAAAAGATATGCAATGAAGCAGAATGGGAAATATTGGTTCTTCTTGGGCATCAATTCGAAACATCGGTTTCAAAGTAATAATCTCATTATACCACACTATTTTTATGACATTACTTATGCTATATAAGTTGTTATTGTTACCAGTTGTTATTTCAGCGTGAGATTGGAGATATTTCTGAGTTAACTTTCTCTTAAGATGCGTTTTGCATTCCGTTGTGTTTAACGTTCTTATTAGATTGAAGCGTAACTACTGATTATACTTAGTGATATTCTGAACACTTGTATGAGTATTTCTGTGGAAAATTCCAGAACTTTGAAGTGTTTATGTTGATAAAATAAATTTAATTAAGCTATCATCGGATTTGAGTGAAATGACAATCATTTACGAACTATTATCAATCTATTACAAACCCGTACGCACGCAACAATATTATAATTAATTAATGTATTAAAATTGTTTTGAACGTGTTTTACAAAACAAAAACAGGTAAAGAAAAATTCTGCTTGCGTTTTATGAGTTTTTGCAATTTTTCTGGCCACATAAGGTTTTAAAAAAAGGTTTGTAATTTATGTTTATATTTACCAATTGAATAAATAGCACTAGGTTTGATTTATATATATATATGTGTGTATTGAAATTCAGTAATAAAATTTTAAAGATTTGAAATGATTTTAATGTCTATTTAGACAGTTTGTATCTTTAAACTGCAAATGCAAACTGAGAAACCTTTTGCACTTTTTTCAATAAATCCTTTTACTTAAAGTCCTGAAAGATATACAGGTATGGACTAAATTTTTTATTATTTTTACTGCTTATATAAAATTATATACTTTATAGAAACAAGGATGGGTTTTTCAAAAGACTGAAAGGAAAAAATTATTTGAAATGAAAATGTGACTGAGATCATATTTGTTTTAAAGATTTTAGATAAAAGCGCATTTTTTTCCCTCAGAAACTAATTCATTAATTTCAAAATCATTCCCTGAAGTTATTAAGAAAACTCTAATAAATACAATAAAAGAACTGGGGGGGGACATTGAAAATTGTAGGAGAAGAAAGACATTTTAATTGTAAAAGAACTTGTATGGCCTTAGATTTTATATGACCCCAATTCATCAAGACTTTCTTATAATCCTTCTTTTTTCCTATAAAAACAAAAGAAGTGGGTGTCCAAAACGTCTTAAAAGAAACTTCCACCTAGAATCCTTGACTTTGTTAATGGTTAATTGAATCCCGACCGAAACTAATCCTGATAGCAGCATTAATTCTTCTTCTTCTATTTGCTTCAAAATAATAATAATAATAATAAAAATCTGAAAGAGTTCAGATTTTAACAATCGCCCAAAAGCCTTCGTTAAGGTTTTTTGCGCTCTTGCTGAGCTCGCAGTCTACCGGTCTGCTGTGTCATTCACTCCTGTCAGCTTAATTACTAAGCACTATTTACTTCGCACTAATGCCACACACGACTCAACAGCAAAATTATAAATATTTTAAAAGCAGCGTAGCAGCATAGAATTTCCAATGTAGTATTCAGTGTTGGCATA